GGGATGTCTAAAATGCATGATCTGTTTGGTATTTTGAGCAAAACACATCATAGACATGTTTTTTATATATTTTGATATATCTGAGATCCATAATGTATGCCTAAAGATAGCATGATAGGAGACCTTTAAGAAAATATAAAACTGTCAACCACCAGCTAGGTTAACCAATGTGAGTGTTTACAGAGTGTATATAAAGGTCAGGTAGGCTAATATATAACACAAAAAAGCAACCTTTGAAATAAGGATTGGGTTATAAGCATGAGAAATGCCTCATGAAGCCTCAAGGCTGCATAAAACCCTCCGCAGTGTGAGCTTTTGACTTGTAGTCCGCAACCACAAATCCCAGTAATCCCTGAAGTTACATTTGCATTGCACTGCCTTATCGTTACGGACACCTCTCTTAACACTTCACTGCAGTAAAAGTTCATGGTGAGCTATCAAAATGCCAAACTGTTTCATTTAAATCAATAATGCTTCACTCGGGCAACATAAAAACACCTCTGTGTGTTTTTGGAGTTGTTAAAATGAGTTTTAGTCTGAAGAGCGCACTGCTCTGCTGAATAATCGTATTCTTCCCATCCCTGAGGTTAGTCAAACTTCTGTCAGCCTTATTGAGCAATTCAAAGTCTTCACATTAATTATATTGAGATTACAAATATAACCAACATGCACATCATATATTTTTTTCATCTTATAGGTTTTAATTATAAAAGTAGGATGTATTTCTTTGACATGTAGCACTTGCCGTCCATATATCCAGCAGAACATCTATAGGCGCAGCATGTGATAACAATACTTTTTAAAGTTGCCACATGACAAAGATTGGATTAGGTATATCGGTGAAGTTACACTTTGAATTCAAACAATTAAATTCTCTTTTTGTTATCAACTCTTCTGCCCGTTAACCACATTATGCATGAAAGAGAAAGATATTGTGATGGATTCAATACAGAAAAAAAATCAAAAGCTCACCTCAGAGAGAAATGTAATCTAACAGAGATGAGAGAGTTAGACGGATAAGATCAAAGTGATTATCTTTTACATAAAACTTTTTTAACCGTGCTGGTTTTCGTTTCACGGTTACGCTTTTTTTGCCCATTGGCCTCTTTTCTATTGTATAAGCTGAATATGTTGCCTTTCCCTCTGTGGTGCTTTATACATTTTCCTGATGGTTTTTATTATAATTGGAACAGCCAGTTTGATTTTAGCCCCACAGGGGGGGAACTCATCCAATTTGTCTCAAGGAAATCACCAGGTAGTACATCAAGTGACAGCATTGTTTCAGAGCTTATTACACAGAGTCAATGAAGGGCTTTAAAAACACCCGATACATAACATTGTGTGTATTTTCCCATGCGTACTGTATATGTGGATATGACGTATGTAACAGTACTGTAGATTTGAAGGCGTATGTATCAGTGCTGAGTGTTAGATAATGTGCTTGTGTGCGTGTGTTCTCTCTCCCGGGTGAAAAAAGAAAGTGAATAAATGAAGCCAGTTTTAGTGCCTGAAGCATGTGGATTCTCTTCACTCTGAATGAGTGGTTCTGTCCTTAATTGCGCCTCCATGAAAAACCTCTCCTCGTTGTGCGATGAAATGCTTCTGGGCATCAGTTTGCACCATGACCCAATGCTGTAAAATATCACCCTGTGACTTTGAAACTCTTTGAAACTTTCATCACTATCAATGCAAAGCTGTGTATAGGGTTGTGTTCATGTACTGTCTGTATGGTGTCTATATTTGGTATGGGTTTAAAAGCAGTATGCCTTAAAGCAAAACCTTTATCTCTTTTGTCTATAGTGCGATGAAAAGGTTGCATGCCACCTTTATCTCATAACACATCTAATTTTACCTTCTGTGTCATAGAAAAGAGGTTTAAGAACCTGGTGTAATATATAGTAGAGCCTGGCTTATATATGAGTATCGCTTCTTTAGTCACAGAAGATTAATTTCTGTATGAAAGTATATTTACAGTGACAATGCCGACGTATCAACACCTTGTTTACCTTGGAAGAATTGTATCGTTGTTTGAAGTATTATCTATTAAAACAACAAAACATTTAAAATCAGGAAATAAAAGGTTTATCAGTAATAATGTAAGTAACTGTATGTAAGAGTCAGTGCACAGATATCCTAGAGAGACAAGTATTACATTCATCATAATGTACTGTATGTAAAGAATAATGTCTCAAATCATAAGTGATTACCAAATAAATCATTATTTTACTTTGAAATACGTTTTTCGTTGAAAGATGATGATGATCCCTACTGATTTTAGACCAAAACACATATTTCCATGACATTTCTTGACAATTATTAGGAGAAATTGTTAATTCCAAACCATTAAAGCATCATCCTCAATATAATGGTGTTTAACAGAAATAATACAAAGATATATTGTTAGTGGATTGTATTGGCCTCATACGTATACTCCAAGAGCTGTTTTCCGTTATGCCTGTTACAGGAAGTGAGTGCAACATCCACCATGTAGACCCATTTATCATCATCCCTTGTTTTAGAAATGCATGCGAGCCGTCTACTGAAGCCAAGAGAAAGGCGACTGCTTTAGCTAATGGCTGTGAACGAGATGGTTCCGGTTGGCTTTGTCCATCGCACAACCTTCATCATCAGCATGCCTCTCATTTGTTTGGTGAATTCTCCAATTAAACTGCTTGTGTCGTGTCAGACAGCAGCATGCTTGAGGGGAGGGTTTCCACGTAGAACATTTTCCATTTCTTCAGCGTGTCAGCAGTAGGTATTGGTCGGGAGTCGATTTCAGCAAGGCCAAAGTCATCGGTAAAGCATTGGTGGCAACGTGGGAAGCGAGGTATGCTGTAGATTGCAACGTATGACCAGCTACCTTTCCCCTGTGGGTCTTTATGATGTACTGTATGTGTCAACAGTGTTTCTGTTCAGCACACATAAAAAAACCTCAAGCACAGAGAGGTTTTTTCCACTTTGCCTTGGAATGAAGGATGTTCTCAGGTATGTGCAAAAGATCTTGAAAGTGAAGTGTGTCCAGAGGTGGGAAGTAGTGAAGTACAAATACTTTGTTACTGGGCTTAAGTACATTTTTCTGGTATCAGTACTTTACTCCACTACTTATTTTTCTGACGACTTTTTACTTTTACTTCTTACATTTTTAACACAAATACCTGTACTTTCTACTTCTTACATTTTCGAAACAGGCTTATTACTTTAGTTTTAATCTGTGTTTGGTGGCGTGATCATTATTTTTACACGATCTGTGTATCCATCATTTCGACGATTTCGAAGATCGACCAATGAGAACTGTGTAGGGCTGCTCAATTAATCGTATTTTAATCGCAATTACGATTATGGCTTGCAACGATTACGAAAACAACGTAATTGAAATAAAACGATTATTATTTTTTTATTATTATTATTATTATTATTATTATGAATTGGTTTTTCAGTTGAATTACACTTAAAGTTCAGGGTAATCAACTGTTCAAAACATACTGTTCACATTTTTTTTCTCCAATAAATTGATGTTTTCAAAGTAAATGGATAATCGTTTTTAATAATCGTGATATCAATTATTGACCCAAATAATCGAGATTATGATTTTTGCCATAATCGAGCCCTTTGTAATCTTTGCCGTTGTTCAGCATCGAAACATTCATTAGCTAACAATGACATTATTGTTCTATTAATATAAAGGGAGGTCAGTTACTTTATAAAACAGCTGGTAATTATGGGTACTTTTTACTTAAGTACATTTCAAAGCCCATACTTCTTTACTTTTACTTGAGTAAAGATGTTTAGTCAGTACTTCTACTTTTACCAGAGTATTTTTAAACATGAGTATCTGTACCTCTACTTGAGTAAAGGATGTGTGTACTTTTGCCATCTCTGAGTGTGTCTGTGTGAGAGAGGGGCTCTGTGTATGCATGACTTTAAAAAACACGTTTTATTTTCCCTCAATGAGAAAGACTTAAAAGGATGCATTGCTTTATATTCACTGGGATTCTTTGTGTTTCTCATTTATGTGCAAATACACACAGGTTTCAACATGTCCACCCTAAATGATCAAAAAAAGGCAGTCAGTTAGGTGTGATAGGAACATTTCCATCAGGCTTTCATAAAAGGCACTAGCTGAGAGCAGCAGCCTACCTCACCACCATTAGATGCATTGTTTTGATAAAAGAGCCTTTTGAAAATCGACTACACAAGCTCATCTTACACAGGGAGAAAGGAACATGCTACAACTCAAGGGAATTGTGCTTTAAATTACAGCTAACACACACACGCTCACACACACACTCCTACCACGGATATAATTGCTTTTCAGTCCCGTCCTTATATTTTCAAGATACCAGCTGTCCCCACACTTGCAGAATAGAGCCTCTCTGCAGTTGTAGTAAGATGTTTGATTCAGATGATAGTGGCAAAACTCAATACATTCAAATAGCCACATTAAAGACAAGCTTCTGCCCGGCACTCTTTTATCTGTGCTGATATGTGACAGTCAGCTAGAAGGATCCACGTCAGTTTTTCCTCTGTGCCGCTTTTACTCCAGCGTTCTCACTTCCCCACTCAATGGAGAGGGGATTACAGCGGCATCACTCAAACCATTTCTCTACTGAAATCCATCTGTCAACTCTCTCCCCGAGCAATATTTCCGTATTCCTCCCAAGTGGAAAGATCAAATATTTGCTATTGCCTAGTGAAATACATTCAAAGGTTCTTAGCCAGTTCCACAATCCAAACAGGAGTTTCTCTTCTAAAGTCATTTATTTTACATCAGATCAAAGGCTTTTATTTCCATTGACAGAGGATAAGGATAAGCTGCAGTGGGTCTCCTGATACATGCACTGAAACACACACAGAATAAACACACACATGAACAGATATGTTTCCATGGTGGCGCACTACACTGGAACTGCTTCTTTGTGTATTTCATATTCAACAAAAACAACATTACTGACTGTTTTTTCTCTCCTCCTACTTTTCTTCTTCTCTCCATTCCTCCACAGGTGTTCCTGGACAGGAGTGTTGAGATTTAATCCCAGCATGCCTCTGGCTCGGCAGCATCACAGGGCCACTGTGCCCACAGCAGGCTGGGTCCTGGCTCTGGCTCTGTTTCTTGCTCTGCAGGTAAAAATTGTTAGGTACAAATTCGCCCTGTCCACTTTTCTGAGTAAGGCTGCCCACGGCTAGCCAGCCATGTTAATCACTTGACTCTGGGCACAAATTCACACTGACTATTTAGCATATTACAGAGACAATTTTGAGTTGAGTGTTGTTTTTCTTTACTTTTCTTCTACACATCAGGCTTTTAATTATAAGGAACCTAGAACAAAATATGACAACTTATTATTCACTAAGACAAAAGAAGACTTTACATTTCTATCCAGTTACCACCAATGTTGTTGGCTGAAATAACTTCCGGTAGGTTTAATTATGTTTTACTATTCAGCTTATTACCATTAGCTTGATGAGATGAATACAAATTATATTTCTGGCTGAATTTGTAATGTTTTCAGCTGACTCGTTTTGAAAGAGGTGTATTGGTTCATGAAACATAGATAGAGATTATAAAAGAAAAAGTCATTATGATTTAAGTTTAAAAAGTGATTGAATGTACAGCTTGTGCAAAGGTTCCCTGTATTATAAATCAAAATGTTCAAACGGTATGTTAAAGGCTTTTAGATTGAGGCCTAACCCATTTAGTTGGTAAAAGTAACCTTACTGTAGCTTGAGTTACATTGGCTGTAGTTGCTGGGGTTAAACTTCCCCATAGAGCAAGAGAGAGGTGTTATGATAGCTTGATCTCTAACAATATCCAGGCCTGGCATCAACACAGTGAGAAAAACTGCACCTTGGATATCAGTAACCTGTAACCCCACAGCACATCTAGTTAATGATGTTCTCCTTGGCCTTTCTACTGGTAGGAAGCTGCTTCAGAGGACATACTAACATTAGCAGGTTACATCTGTGGATCTCACTGACACATTTGTTACACTTTTACTCCTGTATTTAACTCATACACTCTCCAAACCCTTTACATGTAGAGTATTATGCTAACTACAGCCCCGTGCACACACACATCAAAATGTGGAGGAATCACAATCGTGAGAGACCTGCTGTGCCTGGTTACGGTTGCCATACTGGGTTCAGTAATTGGGTTTGCGCACAGGTAGCATTGATTTTCAAAAAGGTGTCATCATAAATACAATCCTTGGTTGATCCCATGGTGTCTGCCCGGGGCTTTATTTCCCTTGAAATGTTACCTTATCTAATGTTAGAAATTACCTGTGCTTTGTAACCTCGAGAGAGCTCTGCCCCACATTTTTAACTTGAAAATGGCATCGTCACTGTTGCAGTCAGTGAGAAAATCCTTGATATACTATGTTTTAGTGTCATATTGTTTTGTGTCCCCCCCATGGGGAGTTCTCTTTGTTTTGTAGTCTCATCATATTCTGTAAACACAAGACATAAAGGACAAAAACAAACCCCGAGTCCAAACCGTCTGCAGTGGTTTTTGTTTCACATTGCCTCTCTCTCCAGGGTGCCGCTCACGCTGCTCCTTCAGGAGACAACAAGCTGGTTCGTACCACCAGAGTGAGGAGGCAGACCTCTGGGAGGGATCAGCCCCCCTCCGCCTCCCCAGACAACGAGACCCTGCGAGATCAACCAGTGATATTTAACCACGTCTACAACATCAACGTACCCTCGGAGTCTCTGTGCTCTGTGGACCTGGACACCAACGCACCACCGGCCCCGGGTGATGGTGAGGCCTTCCGATCGATCGAGCGTTTGATGAAACTCACTGTAGTTCTCTTATCTTCTGTCCTGAAGCCATCTTTTGTTCTCATAGAGACACACACATGCATGCGGTATTTTTATACACTTTTAAAAAAAACTTTCTTTTTGCTTCAAAGGCTCTTATGCTGAGTTGGGGTCCAGACCTTCTATGGAGGGTCCAATGTTTCCCAATGGTCCAACAGAATACACGGAGCAGACGATGGATGCTGACAGCCAGGTACGGGTTTTAGCAATGATTTTTTGTTTTTTGTTTGATTAGAATATAAAGCAAAGAGAGCAATGCAGCGTTTTGGATGACAGTCAGAGTGAGATGTGAAGAGCCTGTTTGTGAGTGATTTAGGCAGACGGTCTCATGAGGAACGGAAACATCTGTTTCATCACACATCATCATTTACCTACTGATATTCACGGTGATATGTAGTTTTGCCTAGAAATATTTAAAAGAGCCACATCACCCAAAGCAAAAACACAAGCAGGACATATTGTTAAAAGAACCTTCAAATATTTCATAGTAAACTTTAAAGGCTGTGGTCATTGTGAATTCTAGTACATAACCTCCAGTTTAATTAATAGAAAAGTAACATTATTACAATATTGATAGGTTGCTGTTGAAAAACCACTCGAGCATAATAATTATAAATGATTACATTTCAAATTTTCGACATTATGTATTAAGGAGAGCACTGTTTCTTTATACATTAAAAAAACATGCCTCACAATTTATGAATAACACAGACATTTTTCAAACAGTCATAGTAAGCACTCCACTTCCTTTCTGAATTGTTTTTTTTCTTGGTGCCTTCATTGGATTTGTACACATTAGCGATGCCACCTTTTATCTTGCTGTTGGAAAGGGTTAAATTATTTTCTACAAATATTTTGATTCTTTTGTTATTAAACCATGAAAGCTGATGGTAAGTTGGTTAATTCTTCTGCCTCGTTTTGAATCTACCAGACTAAAGGAAAGTGTCTGACACTCAAAAGAATTCACAGAATCCTCCTTATCCCATTACTGTGAATGAAATAAGCTTATTCAATGCCGTTAAGTGACAAAATGCACTTCTTAACCAAACCATTGTTCTACTTCAGGTAACATTCACTCACCGCATCAACATCCCAAAGGCTGCATGTGGTTGTACGGCAACAACCTCAATCCAGCAACTTGCTATCAGGGTGGAGATGCTGGAGAGAGAAGTGTCCCTGCTCAGAGCTCAGTGCGGCTCTGGGTGCTGTGGGGAGAGCTCAGCCATGGGTGAGAACTGTTTGACAATGACAAACATGTACAAGGATTTTGGAAGCTGGAGGATGTTGTGTTTGGAAAATATAAGCTATTTGACCTGAGATATTTGAAGATAAATCCCTTTGGTTTCAACCATTAGGCATTTGAATGTTAAAAAGCTACAAACTCACATGTGGCAAATCGAAAAAGACCAGTAGTATAAGATATAGAAAAAACAGCTTATACCATGAATGGGAGAGACAGACGGCAGCAGAATATTGATGCTTGAGGGTTATTTTATTTCTTCACACACAGTCTCGGTCTAAAAGCTGTGGAGAACCCTTTTGCGACTGGTAAGAATTTAGTCCACTATTCAGAAGATGCCGGTATTATAATATGAGGGGATTAGAATGGATAGAGTTAGAGGATATATTATGGTTAAAGGATCTGCTCCATTGACACCATCACCCTATTCAAATATTTCCTGAAAACGCTCAATCTCTTCTGTGGGAATATGATTATCTCCTGCAGTCAGGATGTGAATCAGAATGAGGATGAAATGTTCAGCTGTGGAGGACGGCGGCTGGATGGAAATGCATGAAATGAGACAGCTTTTTATCGATGTCTTGACTTCTGTTTCTTCCATCATAGAGGGATAGGACTTTTTCTGGATATCAAGACGGAAATGATTCGATGTGTTCATTTCTAATTTTAACTAATCATTTAACCCTAAAACTGATTCCCTTTTGATTTAAAGGTCCCCTATTATACTGTTTTTCATCAATATTATAGGTCTCAGATATATACAAAACATGTCTCTGAAGTGTTTTTCTCCAAATACCAAACAGATCACTCATTGTAGCATCCCATAAACCCCTCTGTTTCAGCCTTGTTTCAAAAGTGCTGATTCTGGGTCTGTTACTTTAGATGAAAATAAGGAGCCACTCCCCACGCCCCTCTGCGAGATATTTGGTTAAAAAAACCACAATGGTGCTCTAGGAGGAGATTCAGGTGATAAGGTGGGGGGGTGTTACCTTGGTTGGCTAATGGTTACCCTAACCCAAAAAACGTTATGACATCATAAAGTGGCCAAAATCAGACAGGTTTTTATATAAATGGATCAGGACAAAAACTGAGCTAATCTTTTTTCCCGAATCTTTCAGAATCTCTTTACACAGAGGGGACACATGTTTATGTATAAAAGACATGAAAAAGTGGATTTTGCATAATAGGTGACCTTTCATTTTACTTTGATATTTGAATAAAGCGTTTTTTGTCCCTTATTTCGCCCAGGTCATTTGGACTTCCTGCCAGGCTGCAGCGGCCATGGCAGCTTCAGCTTTGACATGTGCGGCTGCATCTGTGAGGACGGCTGGGCCGGCAAAAACTGCTCCGAGTCCCGCTGCCCGGACGACTGCTCCAACCAGGGTGTGTGTGTGGAGGGGGAGTGTGTGTGCGACCGTGACTTTGGAGGCGACAACTGCTCAGAGCCGCGGTGCCCTTCAGACTGCTCGGGTCGCGGGCTCTGTATCGACGGAGAGTGTGTCTGCGAAGAGTCCTTCACCGGCGAAGACTGCATGGTGGGCAGGTGTCTGAACGACTGCTCGGACCAGGGGCAGTGTGTCAACGGGACGTGCCAGTGCAGGCCGGGGTACGTGGGGGAGGACTGCTCCATGGTCTACTGCGCCAACAACTGCAGCAAGAAGGGAGTCTGCAAGGAGGGATTCTGTGTGTGCCAGGATGGCTTCGCAGGAGATGACTGCAACTCTGGTAGGCTATTACTTTTTATCAATTTAGTCAGTTTGATCCTCTTGAAGAACATTTGTCAGACATTTGGGGTTCAATTTCCCAACATGGAAACTCCCTTAACAATTGCTCAGAAAACTCAGAAAGAAATCCAACTCAAAGACATGCTACTTTGTGCCTGTGATTTAAGTTTTTCATTGCCATATCTACACTGTAGCTAATGTGCACATGACAATAAAGCCTTGAATCTTGAATTGACCTTCAGACAGATCAGTTTTTGATCTTTTTGTGCGATCACGTGTCTTTATAATAAAGCTGCAACATTAGATGGGATTTCTACGTTACCAAGGCAACTTACTGTCATGTGATGAACTATTCTTTCCAGCACAAAATATATTACAGAAACTTGAAATACATTACAGAAACTTTAAATACATGACAGTGGGTAATGGAATTCATGTTCCATGGAGTGCTGAGAGTTTGTACAAAGATAACAGCTACAGCGGCCACACTATTGAGGAAATAAAGGAAGAAATTAATCTTACAGCCGAGTGTAGTGTTTAGATAGAATGTAAACCGTCTTATAAATTATGCTCCATGAATCTTGTTGGCCTCTCTGAACCCTACCGAGCAGCTAGAGAGATCTGAGCATATATGAATGCAAAGTTCTCTCTTACTCTCTGCTACAGCAGTTAGGTACATACAGTAGGATCTAAAAACTCAGGCCCACCATTTTAAGCATCTTGCAGCCCTTAACCTCTTAAGCACGGCGGTCCCCCCATTGGACCCCTCCCACCGTTTTTTTTCCGAGATAATGTCTCAGGGCTTCTTAACATTTATGAAACTATTAATGTGTAGCACCAGATTAACGGGAAGAATCTCAGCTAACTGATGATATTAACAATTTTTACCAAAACAAAACACAAGTCTCATAAGAAGCGTCTAAATGACCCCTGAGCGAAAAGATTCTAACGCACTGCGGCACACAATTCAAGATAAAAATACCCTTATTACTTATCGTAGCTGCACATACAATATAGCCGATTAAAGCTGAGACTCCACTGATTATTTAGGTATAGTATCATCACTGAGCGATCCGAACTTGCGACAGGGGAAGCAAACACAGACATCACAACACGTACCTTTACGGAGCTTTTACGGCAGATCGTCTCACCGTAGCTGTCAATTAGGTCAAAAGACGTATTCAATGGCATTAAAACGAAAAAAAAAAAATGCTACACCTGTCGATCCATAGGTTGATAATGTACCTGTGCCTTTGAAGAAATGATTTATAATCCATAATTCCATTTTTTATGTAAAAATCGGAGCGGAAAAGTTAGCTGCTAATGGTAGCCACCAGAGTGTATGCAGCTTCCGGTTTTGGTAACGCGTCACTCTCACTCCTTATTTGTTAACGTTTTGGTGTGTATATAACTTTCCCTCGATTCCATTGGCTCTAGCGGTTATAAAGATCGAGCAAGGGGGGCCAGAGATAGGTCAAATCCACCCAAATGACCCCAGAAGGGGGGTTTTTGGCTAAATCTCTCTAAAAAGGTCAAATGTCACTTGTTTTGCATCAATCTTGATACAGGGTACTTATTATATGTTGTACTTTGGATTCCTAAAGCTTTTAGTCTACCTTACCATCATCCAAGGGTAGTTTTCACTATAAGTAAAAAAGAATTTTTGGACGGACACTATAATTTACAGTTTTTTACTATGTAAAATCTGAATTTTCTTTAAAATAAAAAACATCTATATTGATTCTGACTTGTCTACATCCAACTCACAGGTTTATCATTACTTTGAGAATAAAGATTATTAATTTAACCCTTTTAGAAGGGAAGATATGGTCATTTGTTCTGGGAATGTCATTTTCGAGCCTGAGACCTGAAAAACAGGCTCAGGGCTTAACAGGTTAAAAAACGTCCCCCATCTGCTTCAAATCCAAGTGGCGGGACGCTTGACTTGCTGGACAGCAGAAGGTATGACAACACTAAATGGTCAAAAGTCACATTCATCCGACCAGAGAGCTGTCACATTCACTGCAGCTGAGACAGTTTTTGAGTCGAGCTCGCCTTTTGTTCACACCCAGCTCTTCACACCAAAATAACAGATGCTCCTCTCCCTTCTAAAGCTGCTGTCAACAACATGAAGGATGATGACAGGCAGAAGAGTGAGCAGGAGAAAGACAGACACGGCAAATCGTATTACCGAGGCTCATTCTTCCGTGCTGCCCTCCCCTTTAATATCTATACCTAGTGAGGGGGTCCGAATTGCTTATTTCTTCCCAATTAGAGGCTAAAATAGCCAATGCTTGTAGCGGGTAGTTTGCTGAATACAAAACGAAGCAGTTCAATTACCAGAGACCTGTAGGGTGACAGGCTTAAGTGTTTCATGTTATCAAAAGCTGAAGAAAGCGGGATGTATTTTTTGCCTCAATCATGGTGGCCTATATTCTTCCAGTGTGAGAAATAATGGAGGCTGTTGAATTTAAATGGGATGTTTCGGGCGTATGGGAAAATACAGTATATCTTTACATACAAATATTTCCACACACAAATCAAAGATCAGCCTTTGCTATAGTGTAGTGTTTAATCTTGACAGCAGAGAAACTCCACAATCAGTTCAATTAGTCCTGATTCTTCAGTTGCAAAAGTGGCGAGTACATCACTAGAGTGCTCGTGGTGACAACTGACATTTACAATCTGCACAAAGTGGGGGGTCTCAGCGCTCTGCATGCACTCAGGAGGTGTTCCTTCAAAACTGTGGAGTCTGTACATTAATAGTAGGATTGTTATAACATCTCAAAATGCCTTTTGTTAACTTGTTTCAGTGAGAATAAAACTGTATCACTGACAACAAATGTAGAGAGATTCCTGAATATCCTTTAGGAAAGATACATGCTGGCAAATTCACACCGCTCTGCATTTGAAATAGTTTGCAACTAATATAACCAGTGCATTTGTAACATCCCGGTAATGCAGATAAGCATTTCAACACGTCATTTGTTAAGAATAATTATAATGTTTGGGTGAAGGGATACAGCTGAACTTCAGATTCATCTTTACATGTCTGATGCTTTTTGTTCTACTTGGGGGAAATCCTTAAAACAGTTTGACATCACAACTCCTTGTAGACAGCCAAGAACAAGATGTGCTTAAAGGGATTACAAATAAATCACAGACTTTAAGGTAGGCACGGACAAATGCTTCTGAAGTTGGACATTAGCCCAATCAAAAAGGCCAGAAACTCTCTTGAGAAATGTTGATAGGATGTAAGAATCAAGTCCTTGGTGACAATAAAGGAAATAATATATCTGCATTTGAATTACCTGGCAGTTAACAGCCTTTCATGTATCAACAGCTATGTGAGATGCTCACCGCTCCTCTATCTCTGATGTATATTAAGTAAAACGCTCCTTTGTCTAATATTTCATAAGAACCTTTTCCAAAGTGCCCACTTGAGAGTTTGCCCTTCATTTTCTATAGAAGAGAAAGTCTTTACTTCCTATACCGTGGGTTTGATTTGTTATTTCCTTCATATACGTGATGAAGCTGAGTCTAATCGATGAAATAAATCTTGCTAATTGAATGCTGCAGGATCTGTCCCCAGTGCAGGCTCACTGTTTGGAAATGAGCTAACTACTGTGTAGCATGGGCCCATCTGTGGAGAGTGTGTGGAAACGGCTCCTAGTGTGTCCAAAGGTTCCCCTGAGACGCTCTCAGTGCTGTGCTGTATTCCTGTATCACAGGATGTAGAGATGATGAGAGTGTGAGAGGTTGTTTATCACACTATCACACTCAATTTGCTCTTTCTCACTCTCGTTTCCCAAGTCATCCTTATTCTTCTCTCATTTAACCGTGTGTTTATGAGGTTCCTCTATTCTTGTCTTTTTTCTCCTCCTGTCTGTGAACCTGTCTTGTTTCTTTGACTCAAACTGTGTACCTTTTGTCTTGTCTTCTCCTCCTTTATGTCCTTCACCTGCCTTCCCCCCTCCTCCTTGTTGTTTTTGGCAGTGGGAGCTGTAAACACTCTTGTTTATGCCTCCACATTGACATTCAACACCACCTTTCAGGGCTTATGGCTTGACGATCTCTACTTCAGCCCGAGTGAATGACAGTGCTCCTCCCTGTCATGTAAACACTCAGCCTCGTGTTTCCACAAGCTCTGGCTTCTTTTACTGACTGGAACACACACATATACGCATTGCAGTGTAGCCTGTTTTCATGTTTTAACGTGTATGCATGAAGAAAACCAAGCGAAACAATGACAAATATAGTGATGTTGTGTGGGGTTGGCACAATAATTCAAACTTTTTAAATGGTATTTATTCTACCTTTGTTGAACCTGAATGGCACAATCATGCAGAGAAAGGGGAAATATAGCAACTTGATAAGGCACTCCGCTTGACTATATTTTGCCTTTCTTATTGTCATGATACATCCATTAGTGTCCTGGTCCATTTTCCATCCATTCAAAACGAAGAGAAAGGTGAACTCTTCACAATTACTCTTTGTCACAGCCCTGCCGATCCTAATTGTATTGGTGGAATGGAGAGTATGATCTCTCCCATGGGACTCGCTACTAGGTGCCGCAGTCGGAGAGGACCATGTGACTCTTTGAAGGATAGAGCCATACAAGAATGTCTCAGTATTGTGTACAATTCTGAATTAGGGCTCCAGGGTGCGGCCTAAAGTCAGTGAAGTGAAACTAAATATGTTCATTGTTCGCACCAGTGCGCCTGACATTTAGCAGGTGTGTCTCTGTATGTGTATGTGTGAAACTGAGCCCTGTTTATCCCCTCAAGCCCCATCACAACCTCAAACATAACGGTCATTTAAAATGACGTTTTTGTCAGATTGCTTTGGTGCCGGTTACAGCGGTCCCCAGATCTGCTCCACTATCTGGCTCTCATGTCCCTGGTTAGGTGACTCATCCATCCGAGGCGCTTGATTAATTTTGAAAGTGGGGAAGAAGGGTTTCCAAAAATGTGTGTGCATGCATAAGGCTCATTACATTTTATATGTCCCTGTTGTAATCAATGTAAAAGTTAATCTGGATCCTTGCCCTGAGTATCTCAATGCTCACTCTCATAGGGTTGGGGAAGCTCAAGCTAATCAGACTAGGTCTAATGTTACTGACTTGTGCTTGCTGTGGTTCAACATCAACATGAGTACATTCAAATGCTTGACATTTAATTCAGATATGTATTATTGTGTGGTGTCAAATAAATTAACTAAAAAGTCTACTTCAATCTGATACATATTATTTGTCTGGATTTAGGAAGTAGTTGTAGCACTGACAGTCAATTCCCAAACCATGAAGCCATATTTTAGCTTTTGCTCCATAAATTGAGTTGATATATTACATTACATTACATGTTACTTGTTAGACGCTTTTATCCAAAGCGACTTACATACTCAATACTGTGGGCAATCCCCACAGGAGCAATTTGGGGTGAAGTGTCTTGCCCAGGGACACAACGACATGCTGACTGCAGTGGGGTTTGAACCTGTGACCCCCTGATCCGAACACCAACTCACAACCCACTGCACCACACGCCCCCAATATGTTATCAAAAATGCCTCGCTTTGCTAGCTAACATAAAAACACTGAAATCGTTAATTATTGGTGTGAAAAACGTTGCCATACAATTTTGAGCAAGTGCGTTTGAGTATTCCCACTAAGGTAGACAATTGCTAACTGCAATCTTATGACACATGCACTATATACCAGAGGTGGGACCAAGTCATTGTTTTGCAAGTCCGAGTCAAGTCTCAAGTCTTTGCGCTCAAGTCCGAGTCAAGTCTCAAGTCTTTGCGCTCAAGTCCGAGTCAAGTCTCAAGTCTTTGCGCTCAAGTCCAAGTCAAGTCTCAAGTCAGGATGGGAAAGTTCAAGTCAAGTCCAAGTCCTAAACTTTGACAAAACGAGTCTTAAACAAGTCCTTATGTGCTTTTCAACAAATGTAATGACATCGATCAACAGAATAATACTTAATAATCAAACTGCTCTTTATTAGTCACATTAATCATTTAATAATCCATTTTCTCTCTGCTGGTAAAGTAACGTGTTTTTCTTCTATTGTAAGAGGGATCAGTAAGGTAAGGCTACCGTGACGGTTTGATTCAGAAGGAGTTTAATGTATAAGATCCCTGATGTTGAGGTGACCAGAATGTTTATTTCCACTGTGTACAGCATGTTATAAGGGACCCATAATCTATCTTTATGCAAGGGATAATGTGCAGTGAGGCGTCTCTATGGGGAAAAGAACACCTGAATCTAGATCCCTCTGCAGGTGGTACTTTAACTATATTTTGATGCTAATACTTTTGTACTTTTACTTGTAACATTTTGAATGCAGGACTTTCTATTGTAACCGAGTATTCCTACACTCTGGTACTGTTACTCAAGTACAAGATCTGAACTTCTCCCACCTCTGGCAATAAATCCTGAGTGGTTACCAAAAAAAAAACCCTGCTCTGAAGGTTATTTTCATTTTACAAATCCTGCACTCAGCTTTGCTTTCTCCAATATCATTGACATGCAGCCAGATGCTGCTCCTTTTTTCGGTTTTCGCAAATTTCTTGACTTCTTCCGACGCGCTTGCATTTAAATCCGGCTACCCGTCTCCCCGTCGCTCTGTGTAGCTGGCCTGTACCACTACACCTGCTGTCTTTGGAGCGTCTGCCCCCCACCCTTCTTTCACATAATGGTATGATCCTAGTGTGTCCTCGCATATGATTGGCCGCATGGTGGCTCAGCAAAATAAAGTCCCGCCCCTGCCTGCATGGATTCTCAGCAAGAGTTGCAGCGGCTGAAGATTCTGCTTTCCCCGACGGGAGTCTGCTCTTCAAGCGGCATCTCGCAATCGGCGTGTTGGAGACCCCTGAATTAAATTATCAAGTCACCTCAAGTCAGAGGGCTCAAGTCCGAGTCAAGTCCCGAGTCATTGGTGTTCAAGTCCAAGTCGAGTCGCAAGTGTTTGGTGATTTTGTCAAGTCGAGTCCAAAGTCATCAAATTGGTAACTCGAGTCTGACTCGAGTCCAAGTCATGTGACTCGAGTCCACACCTCTGCTATATACTAACAAGTTACTCCAAAGGGGATTTTCTGATGTTACACTTTATAATTGTTATTGTAAAACACACCAAAAAAAAGCAGTTTAAACTTCATTTGTGTTGGATTTTGTCTCGACAGTGGCACCCGCCATGAACGTGAAGATCCGAGGCGTGACTGACCGCACCATCGACGTGGAGTGGGAGGGGTCCGTTGTTCTGACAGATTTCTTAGTGACCTACACACCCAGCAGCCCGGGAGGTATGTACAGAGATATGCTGGCCTGTAGAAGGAAGGAAAATTGCATTTCAGTTGCAGTTTATTCAAAATGTCTTAAAGCATGTATATCTTTGAAAATATATATACCATTGTATCTTTGTACCTGCCTTCCTATCAGGTGTGCAACTGGAGATAAGGATTCCAGGCAATACCACGACCTGCACTATCTCAGGCCTGGAGGCGGGAATAGAGTTCAACATCAACGTGTTCGCTGTCATTAACAACAGTATCAGCGTCCCTGCCAGCATCACGGTTTCCACCTGTAAGTGAAGCTCGTGGCTGTTTTGACAAAATGTTCTCACAGGAGCACTAAAGGATATTCCACTGAGGCCATGTTTAGTTCATGACCGAATATAAATGTAATACCTCAATCCAGTACCTTGTTAAATATCCTCCGTCTCATTCAGTGCTGTACTTGCATTCTTACATGAACACAGCCGTTCATGCCGATGCACACACACCTTGTCTGTCACCTTTTTTTGTTTTTGTTAAAACCTCCCCAAGATGTTTCTCAGTGTCAATAGAGTGAGAATACCACCTGCTCCTCTGTGCCAACTGGCTGTGATTCCTACCTGAAACACCTGCTTGGTGTCACTCACACTCTAATACACGCAAACGTAAATATGAACACCTTCTGAATATTAAACTCTTGGTCGGTGTTAATACCAGGGCACCTGATCCGACAGAGGAACACTTTTCCCTGCTTATCAGAGGTATGCAAGCTCACTGAACCTCTGAATAGAAATAGCTTATTTTCAAAGGCAAACTGAATATTGTCTCCACTCAGCTGGTTACTTACCGTGCGGTGTGATGCCATCAGTCTTGGCTGGTAAAATGATCCTCCATTTCACAGATAAGTGACTTTAATTTCAGTGATAGCAACATTTGGAGTTATAAAGTTAATTTAAGGCAATTAAGTATGGTGCAACCATTATTCATGTGTGATATGATTTGTTGGGTTGTCTTTGCAAAACGTAATTATGAAATGAAGTATTTGATTATCTGGAAAGATTTATGAGGACACGGCTGCCTGTGAAAAAGTCATTTAGGTATTTTGCAAAATAAAAGTACAAGTCATTTGTTTTAAACCGAGGCACTGGTACTACTGGAAAACATTGCATATATAGGCAGAAAAAAAAGTTGTTTATCAGTAGGAAATGTATTAAATATATTTATTAGCAGGGGGTTACACTTTTAAAAAATTCCCTTGATGAAAGGAAATGTGTGCCTTTGTACTATTTTAGCAGTAAAACACGAACTTACCCTCTATTATTGATGGTTATTTTAAAGTATTATCGAGGGAACAGAACAAAAAAACAAATGTAAAAGAGAAAAAGTGGACACCTCAGCATGAGGTGGAGTCGTGATTTATGGGCTGTGTGGGTCACTGAAGACAATAATACGTCTCTGGCTACCTCTACAGATCTCTCCAATCCCGATGGCTTAATCTTCAAATCCATCACAGAGACGTCAGTGGAGGTCCAGTGGTTACCCTTCTACTATTCCTTCGATGGATGGGAGATCAGCTTCATCCCCAAGGTAGAGTAAAGCAGTGTGAACACTTAGCGTATGTGATCGCTGTCAGTCCCAATGTGAGACTACAGCACTATTTCATGCTGTAACACGAAGTGCACTGTCTTGTGTGAGACAAAACAAAAAGGATAAGCAAATGACCGTCTTTTTCTCTCTCCATCACCCACAAACACACACACAGAGTCTTTTATTTTATTCATCTTGCTTTTTTCAAACTGACTTTCGATTTCTGTGAAGAAACAGGAAGAAAAAGAACTGGATGGATTTATTGGGGGTTTTGCTCAACTTGAGGCCCATACCAAATTAGACAAGCGGATTGTCTTAAGCTTATTGGCTATTAGGTGGATGAGCCAATAAACCCTTTTCCAGAATAACCCCTTCATGAAACCGTAGCAGGGCCAGGTTCAAAGTCAGAAAGCAAAAACCTTTCTCTTCCTAATTCCCGCCGTAAACGCAGGTACTCTCTGCACTCTAATCTTGTGCTCTCTCACAGTAATTGGTTTTCTCCTTTAAGGTGTTCTCGGGGGGAGATAGCCTTTGGTCCGGCCTCAAATCTGATGTTAAGATGCTTTTTTTCTTTTTCATTTCAAGCCCTTAACGGATAGAACATTTCCGAATGGGGAAAAAAGCAGCGGGATTCCTAATTTAATTTTATTGCTTTCAGCCGTCTTCTCTCTTTCTCCCCAATCCTCTATGTCTCTGTTCTTCAAGCAATTTCCATCCCTCCACCCTTTCTTCTTAATCTCTTGTTTCTATTTCCATCCACCACCTCTCAGTCGAAATATCTGACTCCCTTCCGCTCTACCCTCGAAGGTACCCTTCAACCTTTTCTTTCTTCTTCACCTCTCTCTTCCTCTCCTCCTGTATCCTTCCTTGCTTTCCCTCCCCTTGCTCCAACCACGGGGGAAATCATATTATGAATTGGCAGTCCTGCCCCCCGTGGATTTAATCCAGCAATGGGGATTGTGAATTTTGACAATCTTGTAATGGAAGTAGGCATGAAAGCTATGCGAAAAAACACAGAACTCTCTGTCAAAAAGGAAAAGGAAACAGAGAGAGGGGGAGGTGCAGGGTGAGATTTGTACTTGCCGTTAACGCTGTTAGAAACAGCTACAGATATTTTATATCCGACACTAAAATGAAAAATCCCACTGCTAGCACATCATACCCATGTGTTATATGTTGGGCTTGTTGTAGCTGTAAAGCAATTATTCAATCAATATTGCTGCCAGTAGCACTGTACCATTATTACATTAGTTTCAGTGGTATATACAGGGTTCTTACGGTCATTAAAAACCTGGAAAAGTCATGGAAATTCCAAATGCAAATTCCAGGCCCTGGAAAAGTTATGTAAAACAATATTTTTCCCAAAGTTTTGGAAAAGTCATGGAAATGTAACTAAAGTTGTATCAAATATAATTTATATTTTAGCTAATCGCCGAAATAGTAATACTATAATGATAATAAATACTGTATAGTAATGAAACGTCAAATGGCAAGTTTATTTATATAGCACCTTTCAACACAAGGCAATTCAAGGTGCTTTACAAAAATGAAAGACATTCAGACAAAGGCATTTCAAAACAGTCATTAAAAAGAAAAGATAATAAAAGAAACATTAAAAGAAAAAATACATGAATAAAAAGTGATGAGAGATTTTCGTTGCTTTAGCGTGTAGAAGCTAGTAAGCCTATTTGATTTGTTTTAGATAGGCACAACATGTTTCATATACAGACCTTATTTTCCTGTTCCATGTTAAAATAAACCATTTTCATTGGTACCGCTGAGAAAGACTAATTTCTTTGGTCATGGAAAATTAAGTAACGGTCATGGAGAAGTCATTGAAAATAATTGGTGAAAAAGTGTATGAACCCTGTATATATTCATATACAGCCATACAATCTATATTTATTTATAGAATTAGAAGGATACCAGAGCTGTTTCCTGGAAGGTCCGTCTTAATATTTTTTTTTTTTTTTGATGTTTGGACAAGCTGCTGTGTCTTTCTTGGCAGATGAGATTAACACACATGGAAACACACACATGAGCATGCATAACGATCAGGGTTTACCTGAAGTATCTCAGCATTGTGATTCATGCTGAATATTCAAACAAATTGTCACAGCTTAGAGGTCCGTCCTCATGATGAGGCTCTGCAGATCTGCAGTATTGCTCTTACCTTAAGCACTTTTTTTTTTACAATAATGATCTTCACAAGCCTGAAATGATGTTCGATCATGCTCAAACTGATGTTACGAGGCACTTTTTGACTTTCTCTTTCACTCCTGGAAAGAAGAGACCGGGTAATAACTAAAGATCAATCTTTGAAGCTGCTTCAGGTATAATTAATCTGGTGATGAAATGAGACGTAAACCCCCAATGTGTCATTACAAACAGATTTTCCCCTTGCCTCTAGTAATATCCAGCCATCACATTAAAGGTATTAAAGTTTTATTCACTGCTGTAATACAGTTCAAATGTAATATTATTATATTGCTTTTTGTGATAGTCAGAGGATTATTAGAATCACTTCATGACTCTCTTTTTTTAGGGACATATAATTACATGCTGTCGATTAAACGAAATTACCCTTATAATTAACCAAGAAGAAATCAAACAGATAATGATCATCAGTGTTAAATTAAAGTAATAAAAATACCTCAACAAGGACCAGAAAAAGTATTTTGTCATTCCTCATCTCAACGACCTTGTCGGCAGAAAGAATGATGACTAATTACGAGCAAACTGGCATCGGAGATGGGAGTGGATATACTGTTATGGTGATTCATTTAGTATAATTTAGCATTTAACTGTATTATTATTGAGATTGAGGACCAATTGTTATTGGAACATTACCGCTGTGTGTTACTGCCCTCCCTGGTAATTTAGCTGAGGTGATTAAATGGATTACATCTCTAATTACAGTTTTGATTCAGGAAAGCAGCAAGCTGTTCTAAGTTCTGTTTTAATACGTGCCTTCGTAGCACTGGCTTTTGGGAATCTTGGAGCAGCAGTAGGTGGAACATCTGTCTGTTGGCAGGAAGTGCATGTGCAACACTTGCTCTCTGAGAACAGCTGGGAAAAGCAGTGGCTCCATGTGGATGAGTGACAGGCCTTTAGAAATGTACAGAGTGCTGCCTCTGCAGAACATGGCCTGAGAAATATCACTGACTCATACTTACGCAACAAGGTTCTTAATGTGCTAATTCATCTAAAACATGTACGAATCAGTCAAAGGAAATATACAGTTCAGAAAGTCTACTGCATACATGAGTCTCTGTTTATGTGTATCTGCTGGAGATATTTTGCATCTGCCAGATGCCTTATCTCCACTGAGACACAGAGTTTAAGCCACAAAGTAGCTGGCACTTACTCGAAATATGCAGATTGCATTGCTCTTCAGCTCATCACATTTATCTCTTGTTTTTGTTTCAAAGGACAATGAAGGAGGGATGACTGCACAGCTGCCCAGCACCATCACTTTCTTCGTGCAGACTGGTCTGAGGCCAGGGGAGGAGTACACTGTGAACCTGGTGGCGCTCAGAGACCAGGGTCGCAGCCAGCCATTCACTGCCACTGTCACAACATGTACGTATGAATAGAAGCTTTAAAGAAACAACATTTAAAGGTCTCTATCATGCTATTTGTAGGCAATAGCATAGGTCTCAGATATATACAAATATATAAAAAACATATTTATGGAGTGTTTTGCTCAAAATACCAAACACACCGGGGACACATACATTTTGCACAATAGGTGACCTTTAAACAAAATGTGATTACAGTTTGCTTTTGTTGCCAGGTCATGTTCAAACCACACAACTTGATTTTTGTTAATTTAGTTAAACACATTTAGTAATACTGCCATAACATGACATTTCTCTGTGTTTTGTCTTTATATTTGTGCTTTTATTACATGTACATGTACAGCACTTTGTCTTGACCAAAAATCGTTTTTAAATGTGCTTTATAAATAAAACGTGATTTGATTTGATTTGATAATAAAGTTTTTAGGGGTTTTAAGATAAGTTGTGAATGTGCCCTAAGGAGGAATACGATTAAATAGCCACTACCATTTTTCTTACACATTTGCATATTTGATCAGAAAAAGGTTATTTTATATTAATATTAAATGTGAGCAGCACTGCAAATAAAATATTGTATTATTATGCATTAATCTGTCAGTTAAAACCAACCCAAGGGGACATCTCAAAGTCCTTGTTTTGCAGAAACAACAGTGTTTGTTTTACAGTGAATAAATGACAGAAAAACTGCAAGTTCTCAAAATTAAGAAGCTGATTGAAGCAAATGTTTGCTATTTTGCCTGATTAAAGGCTTAAATAATTAAGTGATTATTATAACTGTCAGCAATTAATTTTCTCCATAAATGTCATTGTAGGACATGTAGCATATATTCCGTCCACACAAACACACGCAGTTAAATACGATGTCACCTTGGCGTATTTGATAGTCTGCCATTATTAATGTCCCCAATGTAAACCTCACTGAGGTATTGCCCCACTCCTCACCCAGCTGCCATTATTACTAGACATCTGTAATAGAGGCAATTCAAACCTCTTTCGTAACAATTCAAACTCTGATGTCCGTAGTCAAAACACCATCAATTGTCCTGTCAAATCTCTGTTCATTTTGTGGGGAGTAATTAAATAAGGATTAATAATTCATGGCACACTGTCATTAATTATTTCACGACAGCCCACTGCAGGACACCTTATTGGAAAAAGAAAGAGGAAAAGACACATTTGAAGTTACTCAATTATTAATAACAAAGATTTATCCTTCCTCTGAGACGGAGTGAGTGTGATGAGGAGTCGGAGGAAAACCAGAGGGAGAGGAGAGCTGATGTGAGAGCAGGTTCTCAGCAGATGTCTTCCTCGGGATGTTTTCTAGGACAAGACCCAAGGGCCCAATTTCTAATACATCAAGGATCGGGGTTGACCTGCAATATGTGTAGCCTTAGTCTCAGACTTATTTAGATCTCAAAAGCTTTAAGAAGGACTTTATGTTCCTGTTTCACTTACTGTTTGAAATATTTACATTTACATAAGTTGGCCCTGGGGACACCGACAGAGAATCATTATGCTCAACAAGAATTCAATTCAATTACAACGTGAGCATTGTCCCAGGTGCTATTTGGGCTGTCTCTTCGAACATATCATGCATAATTCAACATGTATCATAAACCGGAAATGAATTTTATTTAAGTTGTATATTAGATACCGGTTAACCTGCTGTGGAAATCATCAAGAAAAGTGTTGATTCAGAGATCAAAAGCACCTGCATTTCCCCCACAATCTGTTAAAGCAACAGATGTCACACCATAGCTTCAGTGGATAAAGGTAATCCACAGGTTAATGAAGCAGAGTGCTTATTGTCACATTCCTTAACACTCCATTACCTTGACTGAAATGTCTTTATTTTGACGTTGATGCTCTAACAATGAGAGCATGCAGAGTAATACTTTATGTATCCCTATTCTTTCGTGCAGCAACTGGTGAATCGAAAGCTTTGCCTACACTCATTAGTGAACAAGAACTGAGTGTTTAAACCATAAAGCCAGAGAGTGTATGTTACGGCCACACATTTGATCATATATTTTGGGCCTATGGTAGTACCAGTTACAGTTGTGCATGGATCACCCTATGCTTGAACATGACGTTTGTTATTGCTATTTCATGACTAGCAAAGTCCTATAAATCAACATAACAAAGCACCGGTCCAGATTGGGCTCCCCTCTGAGAAACACCACCTTATTGTGGTGGAGGGTTTTGTGTTTCTTCGACACGGGGAGCAAATTTCTTTTGAAATGTGTTTTAGTTCTTAACACCTAGTATGTGCTGTTTTCCAGCAATCGGCATAGAGAGACATTAATCGCAGCTTATGTTTTACACCTTGCAGAGATAAAGCCTATTGTCTCAGCGTGTGTTGGGTCTGATAAGCTCTACAGTACATGCTTCCTGATAACCAATCCAAATCTACCAATGCATTGGCCTGGAGCAGTATTAACATGAACTCTCATCTCTTCCTTATAGACTGACTGAAATGTGTTCAAATCAAAAGTTGGCTTTAAACATTTGGTCAAATTACCAATCGTATTAATTCTATCTTTTGATTTTGTTCAGTTCAAACATAATTGAACGTTAGTGTATTTTAATTAGGGCAACATACTGCTTGTTAAGCTGCTTGTGGTTAGACAACATTTAACATGTGATGGGAAACAGAATATGTCGGGGTTTCTGGAGTGTGTCTTGGACAAAACAAGCTATTTATTGACATCCCCTTTTTACAATTTTCTTAAATTGTAATGACCATATAAAATAATTGTTGTTGGCATCTCTACCTACTGTAAGATTGTTTTGGCATCCAACCAAAAAATCAGGTCAAATTAAAAAGACTAACATTTTGAAAACAATAAATCGACCAAGTAAAAAAAAGTGCAGCAATAGATGGAAAGGTTGGCAAAGCGAGCAACAGGACGGTCAATAATTCTGCTTCTTTCCTCCTTTTTCTGTATGCAGTGATTGATGGCCCCACTCAGCTGATTGTGCGGGATGTGTCAGACACCGTAGCGTTCGTGGAGTGGACACCACCGAAGGCAAAGATTGATCAGATCGTGTTACGATACGGCCTGGTGGGAGGAGAGGGTCCACGGACCACCTTCCGCCTCCAGCCAACGCTCAGTCAATACTCCCTGCAGGTGAGTGGTGTGGTGTGTGTGCAACTTATCACATTGTGGTGTCACAGATCTCATCATACACACACATCATGTGGACTCACCTGCCATCTGTGGACAGAAAAGCTCGTCCTCACAACTTAAACCATTTATCTTTGGGTTGATGGTTGGCTTTGGTGTTATTACTTTGTACTCACAAGTGCTATGTTGTGTGTGTACTGTTGTCATGCTTGGTAATATTATCTATTCCCAGAGTCTGCCAGCCGTCTGTGTCTGGAGATTAAACATAAAACAAATGAAAAAAGCCATGCAAAGAGATTAAACAGGCCTAACTGTCCCTGTTTTTTTGTTTTTGTTTCACAGGTTCTGCGTCCTGGCTCGCGTTACGAGGTGTCTGTGAGCGGAGTGCGTCGAGGAAATGAGAGCGGATCTATTTCCACTGAATTTACTACTGGTGAGGTCTGACAGCAAGCAGATGTGATGATAGTAGTGTGTGTTTGTGTGTGTGGGATCCTGGCCTGCCTCTGAGGATAGAAAAGTCTATGACATATGGCCTAATGTAAAACATAACATTTATCTGTATTGCGTATAGTAGTGAACATCTGGTCAGAGTAATTATTGCTGCAGTGTGTAGTTTGTGGATTTGTTGTGGAAACACTATCCTTTCTTGTTTTGAATGCAAACAAAAAGTGAATTAATCAAAATGACATTTTTTGAATACATCATCTATGCATATGTATGTAATATAATATGCATTGACTTACTAATGATCTATACAATGTTACAAATGAACATGTGATGCAACTGATGTAAATAATTTATTCATACAAACAGATCAACTGTAGTAATTAACAGTTGCCCACCAGCAGTATCTGTGTCTGATTTGTAAACCGCTGATGTTTGCTTGTTCACGATCCCTGAGAATTGGTCTCAGTGTCCCCAACATTGTCAGCTTTATCGTTCTTCTCAGAGATCGATGCCCCTAAGAACCTGCGGCTCGTGTCCAAGACCTCCACCTCCCTGGAGCTCGAATGGGACAACAGCGAGGCTGAGGTAAATAAATGATGACCGAATAGCCTTTGCATTTCATTTTCATGACTTGTTTTTCAGCCAATTTAAGTGACTAAGACGCGGGGACAAAACACCATTTGAATAGCATATCAAATGTAATGCAATGTTATATATTAGAACATCCCAGAGAATAGGAACTTGTCTAAATTATATTATAATAATTAAATAATGAGTAAAGATTCTGCAATGTAATATACAGATATATGGTCTCTTCTGGAAGCACATGTTTTGTCTCTTTTATCTTTTCTGATTATGTTCATTATTAAAATATGTGTACTGGACTAACCTGAAATACTTCATAGATTACACATGATCTCAACTCAACCTTAGTTGTCCCGTATTTAACTGAATACATTTTGTGTAAACAACTAATTTGTCCTTAATCCCTTGACCTTATCCATGCTCCCCGGACCCTTCCTGCATACTACCCACCCTAAAGCGGGTTTTTTATTCCTTCCATTTCTCTAAGCTCTGTCTTGTTGTATTGAGCACTTTATCATCACCGACAGGCCTGTGTGCATTTTGTCAGCTTGGTAAATGCCAATACAGAGAATGTAGCAAACAAATGTGTTGGGTTCAAGTGGTCACCGAAACGTTTTACTGTGACTAAAAATCTAGTAAATCATGTTTTTTCACTGTGTATTTATAATGTTATTACCAGGGCTCCCTAGCTACTATTGCTGGCTAATTAATTGCAGTTTTGTAACCGGCCACTGTCAGCCCAACAGCCACAACCACCTCGCTTTAGTTTTACCACTCGTCCAAGAATCACCAACTCTGGCTCATGGATATAAACGTTTAGTTCAGTCGCTTAGATGTGATGATATTATAAATCTACACTGTCTTTCCCCACTGTCTCTCTCTCTATCTGATCATTCAATTAGCAAAATAGAATTACAAACATCAGCCAAAAAACAAACAATAAGCAATGTTTTTAGCCAATCACTGGTAGCAGATATCTTCATGATCCAATCGCCCGACCCTAATAACTACACAAACAGACATCAGAAGATAATCTGTCTCGTTGCCTCTTAGAACTACAAATGTATTCATCCCCATGATCCTGCACGGCAGAGAGACTAATGTCATGCTGGGCTAATGCAACATAATTCATTTATTCTGTGATCCGACTATTGGTTAATAGTCTTGTACTTTCTTCATTTTGATTAAAATGTTTCCTTTTTGTTGGTGTTCTTAAAGTTTCAATGTATATGTTTAAATCCAGACGGAGGGCTACCAGGTGGTGTACAGCACTTTAGCAGGAGACCAGTATGATAAAGTCATTGTACCACGCAATGAGGGAGCCACCACTAAGACCACCCTCACAGGTAAGGAAAAAGCGCTGTTGCTTTTCTTTAATTTATTGTTTGTAGTTCATATGTATTGAATTATGTATGAACATCTGTAGGGGTCTTTCGCTCAGTGCGATGTGTTTTCCTTATGTCTCCTGTATTATCTCAGAGCATCTAATGTATGCGGAGGAAGCTGGAAGAGCCTGTGTGTTTTACATGGCAGGATTATCTGCAGAGCTAACATTCAGCTGACAGGGCTACTGATTGTATCTGTAGAAATGCTTGTTGTCCTGCGGGCGTATTGAAAGGCTGTCAGAAAGGAACGGTCAGCTGGTATGTTTTTTCTGAAAGGCCACAGTGCTGGAAAGGGCACCGCCAGCATAAGAATAGAAGCCAAAGGTCCTTGTGTTATTTTGTTGGGCCATTGCAATCGATGCTGCCTACACCCTCATTCCTTCTCTGTCACTCTCACTTTCTCTCTACTAATAATCTTTGTCACTCCCTCGCTCATTTCCATTCCTCATTATCTTATTCCTGTAACTTATGAAACTCACTGTGTAACTGATCAGTTATGCTGCTGTTGGCATAAAAAAATAGTTTTTTTCACAGAAATGATACTGATGTACGTTAATTTGCCCAGACCTCATCACCAATGTAGAGCTAATTGGGCTGTTGTGAAAAACGCATTCTAATTGACATGCACTCTGCTTGAGAAGGAGAGTGGGAAACAAGTGTGTGTTGTGTTTATTTTTGCTGTATGATGTTTTAAATTAGTAACGGATTCCCTCTGTGTGTTTGTGCCTCAGACCTGCTGCCAGGCACAGAGTACGGCATTGGTATTTCTGCCATGAAAGATAGTAACCAGAGTACACCAGCTACAATGAACGCCAGGACAGGTGAGTCCATCACTGTTTATACTCCACTGATGTATGTAAAACGGATTATAGGAATACTTCAGCCTTGAAATTACTATAAAATACAAAATAATTTGTATATACAATTTGCCTTTTATATCAATTACTAAAGGTGTTACTTGTAATTTTAGTTTGGAGTTTCTTGCATACCTGCATAGTGAACCGAGAATCCAGAAATTTGAAGTAAATAGAAGCTTTTTAAAAAAAACTGCCGAACTAAATTGGAACATCCGTTAAGCAAGTTTCACACGACTTGTGCAGTATAAACATGGAGAAAATGTACGTGTTTTAGAAGTGAGCAAATAACTGAATAAATGAAACTTATGTATCATTATTGTACTGCAAGAATTGTGTGAGAGTTTGTATAATTCATATAGTTTCGCTGCTTTAAAACCTGTATGCTATTTCATCAAGGACCTACTCTGTTGTTGGTCTATAGCTTGACTGTAGAGTCATATAAGAAAAATAAATCTAGAATTTCAAAGACACATTCAGTGAGTAAATTATGTTTAAATGGTCATTTTGAGGGTGACACTTTCTTGTAAGTGGATCACAGCGGCGTTGTAGAAATACCAGCTTCACAGCATCTGGTTTGCTATTACTTGTAATGTTCAGTTCCTGCTGTGGGTCAGTGCTCCTGTTCCAACCATTTAAAGCCACTTTAGTGAAATTAAGCAAGACGTGTGCTATTTTAGGTGATGTTCTATAAAACCTGCTGGGGCTAAAGTTCCCATTACAGCATTTTAAGGCTGTGATAATGCATACCATTGACTGCTAATGGCCCTCTTTGTCTCATATCATTATAAGCTATTTGAATTTTTATTGAGTTTTTTCTGTCTTTTAAAAAACATTTAACCTTCTGTTAAAATGTTAGTGGGTGGAGGTGCTTTGCTAATCTTTCCCATCATGTTGAATGTCAAGCACATCTTCCCTCCAGTTGCAATCATTTTAATGGCTGAAGGTATTTTGCACTTTACGAAATGATACCTCAATTTTATGAACAAGCACTTTCTATCCAACTCTTTGCACTTTAAAAATGCAGTACAGCTATCACATCTTTCTCAAAAAGCTTTGAATAATATGACAACAACACCTCTCTGGCCAGCATGCAGCAGTGCTCAGTGCTAAAAGCATGATTTCCATTATCAGTGGCTTCAATCGAAGTACTTTCAGTCTTACTTTACCCTCCAAAAATCGATTTGACAATAATCTCCAAAAACATTTGCAGTAGATGGGTAGAGGAGAATTAAACATTGATGATCCGGTGGGCAAGTTGGGTCATTGCTGCAGGAAATAAAAAGACAATCTTAAAACCAAAACAAAAACAAGAAGATTAAACACAGAATGTGGGATGATTATGATAATAAGGAGGCGTAAGCAACATTTTAATCAGCAACAGTCCTGCTTTTCTGTCAGTGCTGCACCAAAGAACAACTAGCTAAAATGTTGGGGGCAGATCGCTGAAATGTAAACAAAACAAAGGTTTCAATCAACTCAATTTATTTGAGGAAAATGTAAGGATGTGACATGAAACAACGTCTGGACTTTCTCATTAGTACGATGGGGAGGCATGCAAATTTGAGATATGAGTGTTTTTTCTAAAGCGAAAGAGGGGACTGTAACATCAGAGTGTCTTAGAAATAGTTTTACAGTTGTAAACACAAAAGGGTCGGACAGTGTAGCAATAAACAGAAAACATCCTACAACATAACATGAGATTATAACTTTTAAGTAAGTCAACAGAGAATTTGAGTATTAATTAAATCAAGCTTTGTGTACCGACTGTTGTTATAACTTTTTGAGGTCGCCCAAACAAAAGGAGGGTAAAATAAATGTTAAAAACGAATTAAAGGCATCATTTAAATTGCACAAATAGCCTTTTTTTATTTTCTCCAAATGAAAAGATCTTAATTTGTTTTACCTGAAATCTTGTCTCCCCGAAATTAGGTCTGGATGTGCCCATGGATCTCACTGTGACAGCTTCTACAGACAACACCATCACTCTGGTGTGGGGCTTGGTCCAGGGTCCCATCGACCATTACAAGGTCACCTTCACATCCTCGTCTGGTGCCTCTACTGAGGTAAGGAAAAGGACAGACTAATACCTCATGAATAATAGATCAAACATTAAACACACTTTTAATAATACTGTACATAGATGGGTCAACAATCATCCAAGGACCAACGTGACTCTGACCTTTTGTGTCTGAAGAAATCCTATTGAATTAATGCTTAACTGTGTCTTTCTTTTCAGCTGACTGTGCCTAAAGATGTTACCACCACCACTCTGACCGACCTTGAGCCGGGGACTGAGTACAGCATCACTGTGGCAGCGAGAAGAGGAAGACAGCAGAGCACTGCAGCCACTATAGACGCCTTCACTGGTATGGAGAATACTCAACTTTTACATACTCGAACAGGTACACAGTGTCGTATAAGTAGAGCAGTTTTCCTTGAAGGCAATAATAAAGCACCTGCCAAATACAGAGGTGACTGTGTCAGGTAAAACATTCAGCACACCTGCCACCAAAGCAATCCCTTAGTTAATAAAAGTCAGGAATTATTTAGGTAACGTACCACTGACTCAGTGTTTACAATTCAAAGTGTCTGGCATATAAATATGAGCAGCTGATATAAATATGAAGTGACCTGCTGCAGTGGCAGGTGAGGAAACCTCTGTCTTTGCTACAGTGCTATATCAACTTGTGTGGAGTATCAAGATTTGAGTCACTTGAATCCTGTCAATTATCAGGCAAAGCTAAGAGACATTTACTCTAGAGTGTTTTCTCGGCTCAGATAAAGAAATGAAAGATCAGCCCATTACTGCACAGAGCTGGAGAACGGTTTTAACAACGGTGGCGCGTAATGAAGTTGAACGGTGTCTATAATGGACTAAAGTGAGGCAGCAGGTAAGGTGAGTCACACTAAAAGAAAATGGAGGGACCTCATAATACTCTGAAGAAGCGATTAGCAGCACTTAATTATTCACGTAAGCTAATGAGCGTGTTACGAGTGTTCCCTGATTGCACCTCTGTTTTTCGTCTTAATATATGTGTGTGATGCTCTCAGTTTTGCTGTCACACTCGTTAGTGTCAGCTTGCCACGCTCTTCCTCTTTCTCAGCTTGATGTTTCCTCTTTCTCTGAGAATTTCAATCACAACCAAGTTCTCTTTTCCCCAGACGTGTGTGCATCCGTCCAACTATTTGTCGGATTGCTGTCAATCTACCCACCCTGTTGTTTCTTTGGTATTTTTGCTTGATGTGATTTTCAGTTGCACAAAGGATGCTGACAAAATGAAGGGCATGCGAGATTTGTCATTCTTTTCTTCACCTTTCATCACCATCGTCATCTCTTTGCTTCTTCACTCTGACCTTCAAAACCATCACCATCTTCGCACTCATCATCGTTTTGTATCTGTGGCTTTTTAAGGTAACACCACTCCAACCATCTGGAGAGGAGAGATGACAGAATCTTAAAATGACAGATGAAGAGAATCAGAGGAAAAATAATTAATTACCTGTCACATACTTCTCCACTGTTCACGTCGACATATTGGAAGCATCTGTTCACCGCTCAGGTGCTCTCATTACAGGGGAAATATTTAACAAACATTTGATCTTAAACTGTGATTACAAATATATCCCAGGCTGCAGTTGGAGCACTATTTCTATTTCAGTTGGTCCCTGTGTCAGTTAATATGAACTCCACTACTTCCTGGATGTAGTCATCTGCAAAACTCTCGTTATCGTGCGTCTGGGCCACAATAGTCAGAGATTTTTTCCCGTTGGCTGTTACATTTTCGTGAACTCGATATTTCACAACCACCTGGAGGGAATTTCTTCAATTTGGCACAAACCTCTACTTCGACTCAAGGATGCACTGATTAGAATTTAGCGGTCAAAGGCCAAAGTCACTGTGAGCTGAGTCTGTTTATTCTCTTGAAAAATATATCTCAGGAATGCCTGAAGGGAATTTCATTGAATCAGGCACGAACCTCCTAATCTACAAAAGTGTATTAACATCATTTGTGATGTTAATGCATCTGTGCTATGACATCCAAAAGCATCATTAAGACCTAGAATGGGACTCACCATATTATCATTACAACTACATTTCCTCCTTGCGGCCATTGTCACTGCCTTTCTTTCTAATCATTACTAACTCTACAAAAGCCTTCACAGTCATCTTGATCGACGACATCTTCATCATAACCACCATCTTCACATTACTCTGACACTCCTTCTGCAATCGTTGTCCTGCCATGTGGAGTTTGTCAACACCATCGGTGCTACAGAGCCATGTTTGGATGTGTGTGTGTTATTTGTGTCATGTCTTGTAATGACTTTCACACAAGTACACACATGCAGAACCCAGTTATCAGGTTTTTACGGGATACACATTTCCCGCTGACTGCACAAAGCGGTAATGCATGTCGACAGTTGGTGAAGGAAATGTGCCATAAAAAGGCAGCTGTTCGTCAATAAAACAGGAGAAGATCGCAAATACAGACAAGTGTAAACAACACAGGCTTCCAGTAATAATTGATTACAAAGTAAACTGATCTTGATGAGTCAGAAAAAGAGAAGTCAATGATGCTGCGTCTTCCCTGCTATGTATACATCCACACATGGCTAATTCAATTCAAATGGTCCGGCATGTGTTGCTGTGTCATCTGCTACACTGGTTGGTATTCATGTCATCATCTCTTGATCAGGTCACACATTTTGACAACAGCATCTGCTATCATCATCATCATCATTTCTCAGTTTTCTTGTAGTTAACAGTCCCATCACAACCTCCTCTTTACTGCGGATAAACTCATTATTTCTTTTTTTTATGACCAATTAACTCATCACTTCCACATGACTGTGGTCTCGTCTGACTCTCACCTGCCCCATCAACATTTCACCAAAGGCTAATTTTCTCAACTGTATAATAAATGATCTATTATACCATCCAGGACTGCTTCCATCAATCATCACATTTCTTATCTGTCATCTCCATAATGACGGCAGCTGTTTTTCCTCTCTTTGTTCATCGCCATTTCCTGCTTGAGTGGAAGCTTTTTTACCTGTCCTTGAAAACTCTCCGGTGACTTTTAAACCCCCGTCCCTCCAGGAATCAGGCCCGTAACCCACCTCTACTTGTCAGAGGTGACTTCAGACTCGGTGTTGGTGGCGTGGAGCTCCCCCGCTCCGCCTGCTGACCTCTTCATCCTGAGCTACAGCTCTGCAGATGGGACCGACACCTCCAAGGTGACGCTGGATGGCTCCAAGATGAGGTCGCTGGTCCAGGGTCTGCTGCCGTCCACTCAGTACACCGTCAGTCTAATCACAATACAGGGGGACGTTACCTCTGAGCCCATTACTGCCTCACTCACTACAGGTGAGCTGCTTGGTTTCATGCAACAGTGGTATCAGAGGTTACTCAGGGATAACACACAACCATCGATAAACATGAGCAGCAGAGTGAAGGCTTATGGCTGGAGTGTATGAGACCAGTTTCAGCAGTTAGGTATTCTTGCTTCATAATAGGAGTATTTGTATTTACATTCATAGATTTTTCTGTACCTCTGTACTTAAAGGTCCCATGTCATGGCCATTTCTACTGATCCTAATTCCATTGTTGAGGTCTACTAAAATAGATTTACATTGTGCAATTTTCCAAACTCACATTGGTTTCTCATACAGCATCTCTGTATAGTATGTGTATTCACTCTCTGTCCTACACGGCTTGTTGGAGCTCCTGCCCCCCCCCCCCTCCCTGTGAGCCCAGTGTGCTCTGATTGGTCAGCTCGCCCACTCTGTTCTGATGAGTCCACCACCGTTACAGCGGAACATCAGTGATTATGTGTTACAATGGCGTTTGTTAGCAACCAGAAAATGACACCAGTAATGACAAACAGATGAGAATGCTGCGTGGGGTCTGGGTGCCGTGTTGGCGGGACGTTGCGAGGCTCGCTGCTGCGTGTACTTTGAGGGTTTTTGACTCTGCAGACCGTTTACATGCATAAAAAGCTACATAACACACAAGGGGATGGGTAATAACCGGAAAAGCATGACATGGGACCTTTAACATTAGACCACGTTTAGGGTTTCAACTTACAATCATTTAAATGTTGATTGATCTGCAAATTGAGCAATTTTTGGATCCATGAAAGGTCAAAGAACATTCTCCTTCATAAATAATTTTCTAAAGCCTAACACTCCATAGAAATGTCAATGTACTATCACCTGAGACTAAAACAAGCAGAACATCCCGACAATGGAGAGGCTATAATTCCCTTTTTTTCACAAAAATATGTTTTTTGTATTCTTCCAGTAACCAAGGAAGAAAAGAACATTAGTAGAGCACTGTTGCAAGTGTGAGAAAGGAAACGGGATAACAAATGGAAAAATGGAAATTCAAAGTGGTTTTAAATTAAATATGTATTTGCAAAATATGCTGTTTTAGCATTTCATCCCAGAGCAGAATTATTGTTAATAATTGCAGATCTGCCTGGGAGATTTGTTCTTTCTATTTCTTTGTAAGACGTAGTACCAACAATACAAGTTGTATTCTCCTGCGGTGTCATATAGCTGAGAGTTGCCACATACATGACATTTGAGTCAACAGCCAAGTGCTAAGTCATGTTTATAAACTCATACGCAATCGTAACTTTTGTTGATATTTGAGACATTTCTGACAAATGCTTATACAGTAAAGGACAGAGAGAAGAAGAATGAGAGAGAAGGAGGACATAGGCATTGTTACTGTAAATTAAAGATGTCTGCCGATGCTTTGTACAGTTTTCTGCACATTTGAAATGAATATTTTCCATTCAGTCTTCCCTTTATTTCATCTCGTTAGTTTTTTTAAGGTTTCTCTATCATTTCTCTCTGTGTCTTTTGATTCAAATGTTTTTCCTCAAACCACGCTGCAAAGATGGTTCATATCTTTCTCTCTTTGTTAATACGTAATACAGTATTACCTTGTCATTTCACGCTAAATGGCTTTTTGATAGAAAGAGCTCTTGAATCATTTCTTTTGATTATGAGTGTGCTATTCACATTTGGAAAGAGAATAAATGAGAAGGGGGTCAGTGAAGTAACCTGCCTGAAAAAGAGACAGTGGGCAAAACAGAAAAGAAAAATCAGGACAAAAAGGAAATCAAAAGAGAGGACTGAGACTATTCGAGGAAAGGCAAAAGTCAGCATTGAACAACATAGATATTATCTTTGCATCAGTGCCAGAGACACCTGCAAGCTGCCATCTGATAACTGAGCCAGTTTAACATAATACCTTGGCAGTCACAAGCACTCCCTCTTTACGTTCACCCACACATGATTATAAGCACATTCTGAGGGTGAAATTGGATGGGGATTTTGAGATGGCTATACAGTATTTCTTGCACCTGTCTTCAGAATGGGTGTAATGCTTTGATCCTGCTCATTTCAATGTGAGCACTGATTAGAGACTTTGGCTTTCCTTTTCGATTAAATGTTTTTTCTTGTTAGATTTTATCGTTTCAAATGTTCTGGACTCCTCAGTTTCTAACCAGTTCAGTGTATTTTTTGCTGTTTATCGGTTCAAACAGTGCTTCAGTGTTGCTAAGCCTGAGGGCCACATTCATTTATTAGCTTACACAGTGCAAATTGAATTGTGATCTTTCAGGAGGATCAGGTCAATAGCAGTAGAGTTCACTGACAGACCTGTTCTGTAATTGTTCCCATTCAGAACCTCGAGAAGCTCTTTATTTTTCCAGCCGTTATTTTTACCAAAGTAAACATAATTAGTACGATATGCATGCATGAATAATATGTAAAACATATGTAAATGAAGGTACTGTATGTCATACAAGTTGAATTCAAATGACTTCAAAGCCAGGAGTAATACATTGCCGCCTCTGCTTGTGAATAATAGCCATTATTCTTCAGCAGGGAGTGGGGTTGTTGTTGTACAGTATGTGCTGCTCGTTCCTCCTCTTGTCCACACCGACAGATAGATGTTATCTCTTTATCTATTCCTTTTCTGTTTTTTGTCTTTTTGTTTCCCCCTTTTGAACTTTCTTTATCCCTCCATTTCTTTCTCTAGCAGCTAAGGACCTGTCCTCAGTTTAATTGTTTTCTCACATTGTTTTGGCCATAACCTTTTCCATGGCAGCTCGATAGTCTCAGGAGACGCATAAAACAAATTGTCAGCTTGGGGGGTAAATCTCCTCTGAGTAAGCCCTGCTCAGTCTCAATGCTAATGCCGCCCATTGTGTTCTTTACCAGATAGATTTCTTCTGGAATATCTTTTGATGGTGTTTATTTATTTATTTTGAACAAGCTGGGCTTCTGCAGACCAAGGGCAGGTCTGTTTGTGCAAATATAATGAAGAGCAGATTGAAAATGGACAAAGCAAGGATTTATGAAGTACCTCTGGTTTCAAGGCACTGAATCTTTTAGATTGTTATGTAAATTCCCCTATTTGCCTAGTTTACCACATAATGCGCTTTTCTGGGATCAGAATAAATTCTCCCATGTTATCCATTGTGGACCATGTTGATCCTATGCTAACACTTATATCTCCCTTCTAGGCATGGACCCACCAAAAGAGATGACAATGTCAGATGTGACTGAAGACTCTGTGATTATCTCTTGGACCAAACCAATGGCGCCATTTGAATATTATAAGCTGTCCTACCAATCAGCCAGAGGTAACCCAGTCTTTAACGTCACTTCAATGTATTATAAGTACAAGGAATTCACTATATCAATATGCACGCTGGAGCACTGTGTTTTCGTGTTGCAGTTAAATGAACATGGCATGTGTTGCAGCGAGTCTCTCAAGATATTTTGTAGAAGGGAGCACTGTTACCCACACTGTTTTAGCTGTAATTAATTGATAACATTTTATCAGTAGAATGTGATTTAATTTTTAATTAACAGTTTGTATTGATTAAATATTTACCCTGTGATGTAAAACTTGCAGCAGTGTGCCCTTTACCTGATAAATCTGAGATCAGAGTGACGGCGGCTGTTCTGATGTCTGTGCAGGTCGAGTGGACAGCGTGGTGATTGACAGCGATGTGACCAACTACACCTTGTCCAGCCTGTTCCCTGCGACTGAATACGAGATCAGCATCAGCGCTGTCAGAGGGAGTCAGGAGAGCAAAGTCGTCAGCACCGCCGTCTTCACAGGTAGGACTCGGAGGGTGTAAGGAAACATGGCTGTATATTAAGAGGAGAGTCAAACAGCCATGCAACAAAACAAACTGCAGCTGAATTAAACAAACGATCAGACTTAATTGACTATATTCCCCCTCATTTATTCAGCTTGACTTCTTTCTTGATGGGGAGGTTATTTTGTGTTGCCCTTACCAATCAGTATCTAGTCACTAGAGAAATCTGTGGAGCTGTGTCCATGTCACTCACACTGGTAATTTTTCTGTTGTCATAAATTAATAAATTGCTTAACAAGTCAGAGATGTCGTTAACAATGTTCGAGGTCAGTAGCAGGCTACATCTGCACAGTGCAGGGACAGAAAACAAAAATATCTGGTTTCCATTTTCTCCACGGGACTGTCAGTCACACAGCGATGGAGTGAAGCAGGTGAGAGGAGAACATGTTTGATTATAAATGTTGTATGTTGTGTGGAAGCTGAGTGTTTCTAGGGTTTCTTGGTTTATTCCTTTGTTAAAACCTTTCGCTACTATGGACAGGGAGTGAAATATAAATCTGGTGGATAAAATACTAGAAACATCAGTCGGTATGCAATAGAACAGCATCACCAACTACAGCCTGATAAGTAAATCATCACCTCTTTTAATACAAACATTACTTTAAAGGTCCCATGTCATGGCCATTTCTACTGATCATAATTCCATTCTTGAGGTTTACTAGAATAGATTTATATTGTTCAATGTTCCAAACTCACATTGGTTTCTCTCTGTATAGCATGTGTATTCACTCTCTGTCCTACACGGCTTGTTGGAGCTCCTGCCCCCCCCACTCCCTGTGAGCCCACTGTGCTCTGATTGGTCAGCTCGCCCACTCTGTTCTGATGAGTCTACCACCATTACAGCGGAACATCAGTGATTATGTGTTACAATGGCGTTAGCAATTAAGTAATGACAAACAGATGAGAATGCTGCGTGGGGTCTGGGTGCCGTGTTGGCGGGACGTTGCACGGCTCTGCTGCGAGAAGCGGACAGTGTGAGCTGGGTTCATTTCCTGCTTGCTGCGTGGGATCTGCGAGACATCGCGAATGGAAGGGGGGGGTGCTGAGGGGGCTGCAGCACCCCCCCCATCTGCGAGGCTCCACTAGCACCCGCACCCCCAAACGCGGCGCAACCTACAGTGTAAGCGCGCCACAGTTTTGCCGCTGAGAGAACCATTTGCGTATGGTCACGTCTTTGTACCCAGGAAGAAAAAGAGAAATCCCCAACGAGGCGTTCTGGGGCAGCATAGACATGTCTTTTCTGTGTTAGAGTTTTACTCCCTACAGGGTGTACTTTGAGGGTTTGTGATCCTGCAGACCGTTTACATGCATACAAAGCTATATAACACACAAGGGGACGGGTAATAACCGGAAAAGCATGACATGGGACCTTTAATGAAGGACCAATTTATTGCAGGATTGTTGCATTAGAGTGCTTTAGTTTGAGCTATATGAACCCATTAAGCTGTCGAGTAAATGTTTTGACTAAACACTTTAATATACTTCCTCATGTTCTCTTTATCGACATTATGAAATGTCTCTACTTTAAAACCACTCTCCTGGCTCCCTTGACTCTGTGATAAACGCCCTTCTTGGAGAGGGAGCGACACAGGAACACAATGTTTGCTGTGTGATCTGTATGAAGAATCCCTCTTTTCTCAGTTAGACTCTCGGACCAATTGTTCTTTCCCAAAAACAGCTGCGCATTGGAACTTCTGTGCTAAAAAGAGCAACACGCACAGATACAGACGTCAGACAAAATCTAAGGGCTGACATTGCAGGAGGTGCAATCGTTGCTGCTGCAATAGATGAAGCTGTCCACTCCGTGACCCAGTAATTGGTAACCTACTCCCAACTCCAGCTCACTGTCCTCTATCTCCTGCCTTTTTCTATCCCTTTATACTTTTTCCTCACCTCTATCCAGCTGCATTGTTACCCTATTCTTTCTCTCAGTATCCTTTATTCTGTTCTCTTTGCATTTCTTCTCTGCTTCATCCTTTCTCTCCTTTTAGCTTCTTTCTACCCTAGTGTCTACCCAACCTATTTCTTCCACATCTAAAGATCAGAACTCTCAGGCTCTCATGCTTTCAGACTTTTTGGCTTTTTCAGATTCCTTACTAACTAGCTCTAAATCCCTAGTTAAGGAACGTCCCATATTTACTTGCATGCAAACATGCAAGTAAATATGGGACGCTGTTCTTCCACTAACCTAATATAAACAATCAGCCACTGCGTTATGCATAATCTTGTGTGTGTGTGTGTGTGTGTGTGTGTGTGTGTGTGTGTGTGTGTGTGTGTGTGTGTGTGTGTGTGTGTGTGTGTGTGTGTGTGTGTGTGTGTGTGTGTGTGTGTGTGTGTGTGTGTGTGTGTGTGTGTGTGTGTGTGTGTGTGTGTGTGTGTGTGTGTGTGTGTGTGTGTGTGTGTGTGTCAGCGTCAGCGGGGGGAAAGAAAGAGAGCTAAATAGGGCCCAGCGCAGGAGGTGAGTTTGAATGCAAATGAGACCTGATTAACCAAGAGCTGCGAGGTTTAAAACTCCAGTGAGAAAAAAAGAAAATTATCCCTTTCCGTCTCTTATTTTCACTTGTATGCCTGGCTCTTCCCCTGCAATTATTTATCATCAGCTTCCTTTTTAACAATCCCAGTGTACTTACAATGAGCAGAGCCGTTGGGGCTGTAATAGACTGCAAAGAACATAACTCTAAAGTCAAGCTTGTTAGAAAAGGTAAAAAACATTTCCTCACATCACACAATGCCCAACCAGGGACATTCTAATGCCGCCGTTCAACAACAATACATAAACAGGGGATTTGGAAAAGTAATCCTGCATGGCCCGGCCAAGTATGTAATGACTTGAATAACGCTGCAATTGCCACTTACTTCTCTTCCGTAATCAATTATTGTCAGGGGGGGGATGAAGAAGCAGGGAGCAATATTTCATTGAGCTAACACAGCAGGTGCTGCTAATCTCAGATGAATTTGGGAGCGTTGAAACTAAATGGACTATGTTTAGGTATAACAAAAGGCTAATAACGGCGCTCATTAGCAAAGTGCCACGACACCTACTTTTCTCAAAACTGTTCGGAAACAGTCCTCTCTGCTTTACTCACAATATTTATATGTGATATTTCAAGAAGAGATAGATAAGGGATGTGCATTTCTATTTGAAATGATTTGTTAACATATGACAGAGCTATTCCAAAGATACACTGCATGGTTTTCATCTTCAAAAACCTTTATTTTCCTCGTCAGAGAGCCGTTCTTCTTGTTAGGCTTTGTTGTGAAATCGTCTGCAGTTTTTCGGGGTAACACATTTTGCCGCTGCTACACATCAAGTCACAGTCTCAGCGTGACATGTCTACTTACAGTAAGAGCTGCAAGACTACACCTTCATAATGAAAAAATCAAAGGTGATACAGCGGGCTATTATTGCACAGTCGTTAACACTATAGTTAAGAAACTTCATACAAAGGCACAGCAGGTACCAGCAAATCAGCTGAAAACGACCAGTTCGGTAATACATTAGCTTACAAGTCGCTTCAGTATTTCTTTGAATAAAGAATTATGATAATGAGCGTTACATAAATGTGTTTTCCTACACATACAATACATTCACAATCAACAATGAGCAGTGCAAATGTTCCACGTAGCTTTATACAGTACAACCTCCTTTCAGCATAACATCCTTAGGTACAATGGTTGCATGTCACTCTTCCTCACACTGATAACCTGCTTTTCTTTACAGTGAGGCAGTGCTGCTTCCATTGTAATGAGAGGGGATGCAGAGATGGACTGGGGAGTAAATGGTCCGATGTGTCTCTCTAACTGCACTGTCTGCTGCGGTCTGCTGTTATAATGGCCACAGTCACAGCACACAGCAGACTGACCTCATGGTCAACCGTCACATCTAAAGTTTTTTCTAAAAACACCCTTTCCAGCAAAGCACAAATACTCAATGTATTCACACATAATAGCACACCAACAAAGATTCATACGTCAATACAAACATGCCTGTGCCCTATTCTCTCCCTTACAATCAAGGACAGAAGTTGTTAGTCTTCATTTTGTGAATAAGCTGTAAGCTGTGCACTGCAAACCGATGTTTCCACACTTAGTTTGATAGAGAGGGAACACCACTCTGTGCCTTTTTAACATTATGAAAATCCTGATCTAATGTTTAGCAGGTAAAGAGGAGACTGGGAATTCTCAACATGATCGGTTATGATTTAATATTTTTAGCTTTTAGCAATTGTCTAATGCGACCATCTTTCATCAGATAATCGCATACAGTAGAATTCACCACTAAATGTTATTGCACTTATCAATGCAATGATTAGAGTTTTGGAAAACTAATTTCAAGCATCACAGTAATAAACATCACTAAATCGGTCAGATTTTCTAGATACAGAATAGTTTTCAAATTCTCTGAGGCCGATTTTAGGAAAAAGCACTGAATAAAGTATATGTAAAAGTGGCAAATGTAAACCTTACTAAAACCAATGGGGTGTCCTTCATTTTTTTGACTTGTTTCATTTATCGATAACCCAAAACTCTCATTTGTTTTGAGCAATTGAACAGGAATCAAAGGTATGTCTGAACTAGTTTGTCCAATATCATTTCTCATATAATGTTAATATTCATTTCAGTATATACCTGATGTTCTGTGTCTACAGTTTTTTTTATTTCATCCCCTGGGAAGAATACTTCTTGGTCCATTTGACCCCCTTAAAGGCAAACACTGCAATTAGCTTTGCAAGCACAACATACAGTATGACTTTGTACTTGCCTTATTGTGTAATTGGCATTTGGATTTGCTCTGCTGTCAGTGATGTAGTGTTTGGAAACAGCAGGTTTACAGGATAATTGTGTCAATGCTCAGGCTTTCTTGTATTTCTGGAGGTTTAATTGAGCAGAGCTTCCCATCAGCATGGGACTGCAACGCAGCATTATGCCCCACAGCAGCCTTTTGTTCCTTTTCTGAATCTTAAGCACCTCGAGTGCGAGCGTGATGTATTTGGCTCAATCTGCGATCCACCGGAGCAATCAGGAGATGGAGAGTGATGATTGGATTATCACAGAGGCTGTTGAAGGTGGATGACCTGTTTATTTATTTCTTTATTGGCCATCTCAACTCCATCTCCATTGCCAAACTAATTGACTTGGCAGGTCTCCATTAAATTCACTTAAACCTTTTTGCAATTAAAGTAATGCTTTTAATCAGGTTTGTTCATCTATCGCAGAGATAAGGAAGAGTCAAACTCACTTCGTTGTGCTAATGAGCACAACTTTTTTTTCTTTGTCTGATGAGGGCAGGGCAACATTAATTACCTCATCTGGGCAGAGCTTTTGGAGCACATGTGGTGTTGTGTGTTCTGCTGCTACGCTCTCTACTGCGCAGAAATAACATGCCTGAGGAGAAATGGGGTTGAAACACCGAGGTTAAAGGTATAATTAAATTCAAACTCAATGTTGCCATGTCTAGCAGTCTGAGAATGAAATTAGGAAAAGGTTGGGGAAGCGTCAGGCTCAGGAGAGTTTCTCAGACTTTCTACAGCCTTTTGACTGCATAATTTATCTTTGATGTGTCTATGAATTGAGGAAACAGTGATCAAAATGGCAAGAGAGTCATAATTAATCAGTGTAGATGTGAAGCTCTTCTGTCTCTCGATTTCCATAATGACAACTAAGATGTGGATTGAATAATGGTTTTCCATTTTGAATTGTATTGAATTGTCTAGGTGTAATTGGCATTCCATGTGTTTTTACAATTGTAACTCGACCCATTGTGTACAGAATCACAATGTCTTTGTGTATGTAAGTGACTGACACAGCTCCACAGTTTGTGAACAAAATTATGCTAGTGTAGTTTTCAAAAATATCTGACAAATGCTAGACAAAAGAGACCATTTAAGTTTTATTTTAATTTGAACAGACTGTGGTTTCAGCTTCTGAATTGTAAGAATGTTAATGTTTTTGCTCTTTAATTTGATAAAGAAAGCTGTTAATGTGTTTGGCTGATACAGTATGTAGCCAACATTTAGACTGTCTGACATTTAAGGGTCCTTCAAGGTGATCCATTGCTGTCATACTGGCCAGATGTCACTGAAAATACTGTTATTGTTGTATTTGTCTGGGCTTATATTTGTGTTGTGTTGTAATCCTAGCGATGGACATGCCGGCTGAGTTGACAGCTCTCAACATCACTCCCCAAGGGGCTCTGTTGAGGTGGAATCCCCCCATTTCCAGTGTCGACAACTACGTGCTGACCCTCACACACAACCAGGGTGAGTAATATGAACTGCCATTAAGAGGCATTTGCTGTTAATTAGACAGGGAGAAGACGGCTTGATTAACCGCCATCAAAGCACGAGAATTATACTAATTAAAGCATTTGGACAGAATCATCAACACCTTTCTCTCTGTAATGCCTCACTTTCTTGGATGTCACTTGACTGCTTTCGTTGCAAACTGCGAATCGCATTTGACAAATCAGCCTTTTATCTTATGCTGCCATTTGTAGGTGTCATGTTTGTGTGTCGTGAAGTACTTATTAACCTCGGTTGTGAAAAGCACTGTACAACTACATACCAAATTATTATTGATAACAGCACTCTGCACAATGATTTGCTTTAAGTGTAATAGAGTGATAGCTGCTGTAAGGTCAGAGCATGATGAGCAGATTTTGTTTTGGTCATTCATGTGCAACGTGTGGTGATATGTTAGGTACCGTCAAGGTTTTTCCAATAAGAAGTGAGATCAGTATACGATCCTTGAAGGCAATATGGATCGATTTGTCTTGGCTCCAGAGAGTTCATTATGCTCGGTTGAAGTACTTAGCCTTGAAACAAATTGTGGTTTTTACAGGGCATATGTTTCTGATGCAGCCCGTGTATTCACTGTCTGACAGCCATATCCAGATAGGTAACAGATAGCCATATTGCTTTGCCCCTCCGAGTCAGTTTATAATTTGCTCCCTGAACCATGTGGATGACTGCCAAGTTACAGTAGGCAACACTGCCACAGATAAAACATCTTGACATACACAGCGAGAGCACTGAAATAAAAAAAGATTGTAAGGAAATTGTATTTTTAAACAAACATCAACCCATTTTCTCAGTTATTTTCTTTTTTAAACTAGCCAGTTTATTTATTTATGTATTTGTTTATTCCACACATGGCAGTTATTTTAAAACAAAACATGTACACTTTACAAAACATGTACACTTATACTGTTTTTTTCATTTGTATAGCGCATGGTGGAAAGGAGTAGGGAGAAGAAAATCTTATTTTACCTGCCCCTTCTTACAAAAGAATAACAAAACAAATGAAATGAAATAACCATTAAAAAGTAAAATAAAAGCAATATTCTTTCAGTCTCAGTTGCTTACAAATACTGAAACATAAAACCAGAACACAATCAAAAGTCAACTTCATACTGTCTAATTACACTTTCTTTATACATTTTCTTAAACATAAAAATGTTCTGACAGCCCTTTAAATCATTCGGCAAAGAATTCCACTTCTTTACGGCAACTACAGAGACACACATCTGCTTTAAAGTAGTACGTGCAAACTGATGCTTAACATTTAATTTCCTCCTATGATGCTCATCCTCTGAAATAAAACAAATTTGTTTTGTATATTTTCTGGCAGTATTCTGTTTTTTGCTTTATGCATAACTAAAGCCATCTGTAATTATATTACATCTTTCAATTTTAACAGCCTTGACTCAATAAATAGTTTGTTAAAGGTTTAATAAAACTTGATAACTATAATTTCCCTCCTGACTTTTAGGAGCCGCCTGGATGAAATTGTATGGGAAGGATATTTCTCATTTGCACATGACTCGACTGTCTAAGCCTGGAGTTATCCAGAGGAATCTGTATAACTCAGCTCTCTGAGTCAATTTGTGCGTTACACCCTGCCTGACTGGACTGCAGCCAGATCATCTCAGATACTGAGACACTTTCTTTATGCTGAGCACATAGTTGGAAAGCATCCCCAGCCAGGGTTTAGGACAGTGCGATAATAAAGTTGTGGACAATTCCCTTGAGTGTCAGTGTGTCACATCAAGGTCAATACATCTCATATTTCATCAGGTACTGTCCTGCATTACAAAACAGATTTTTATTGGCACAACCTCATAAAACTCTTACATTCATGGGATCCATAAGTCAAACCTTCTTTAAAATAGGTTAATACTCTAGCATGGACACATTTGCATGTTTAATTCCTCACAAACATCACTGTCACTGTGACACTTAGGGTAAAAAAAAGTCTGGCGTAAGAGGAATATTACTACAAATTTAAATTCTGTTGTAAAACACCTCCTGTCAGTGAGCTGCTGACAACCCAGCAGTTATATTAAATGTATTTTCCAGTCAAATTAAATTATTGCTCATGTCACACAATTATTTTCTTAATCAGCAATTGTGCACAGTTGATTCATTGATGATAATTGATCCGTATTTAAATGTGTACATAATTCAAACTTCAAATGGGTTAGACGGTTATATTAGCCGTGAAAATACCTTAAACTGATTCCTGGGATATAAAATTAGATGAGAAGATGTTTTCTTAGTCTTGCATTTCTTCTATATTCAGTCAGATTGTATAAGCAATAGATATTTATAGTGTGCTTTATTTATGCAGAGTTGCCCCCAAAAGCAAATTCAACTCAAAGCATAATAAGTGTAGAAATCCTTCAACTTCAAAGAGCACCCCAAAGGTTGCCGAACAGTGCAGGATTCATTTGAGATTAAGTTTCAACATGCTTAGGAGCTTATTTCTAAAGAGTGACAAATGAATGCAGTCTTTTCAGAGATAAATAATAACGGGAGCAGTGTGGTAAACATATGAACCTTTTATGTTTTCCAGTGACAGCTGACACTTTCCTGGTGGAAGGCAACAAGCAGGAGCACCAGCTGTCCAATCTGAAGCCGAGCACCACCTATTCTGTGGCTCTGTACGCCACCAAAGGACCCCTCACCAGCGGCACCGTCATCACCAACCTTCAAACACGTAAGTGCTCATTTTATTCAGCTGGTGCCTGTTCAGTGGGAGGTGCGTGATTCTGTGGTTAGCTTTGAAGCATCCCAGCAGGACGCGCCTCCAGGCCCCACCGGAGCCTTTCTGTGTGGAATGAAAATCTTTTTTCTGTGTTTTGCGTGGGTCTCCTCCGGGTGCTGGGTTTCATTCACTGCTAAAAAAAAGTATGTTAAGAAGGAATTCTCCTGCCATTGTCCTTGACCAAGGACTATGTCTGCTTCACACTGCTTCTAAAGTAGTTAGGATGAGTCAAATGCTGATGATGTGTTTCTCTCTCTTCAAAGAAAATATAGTCAGTGGGTGTTTCTCAATCGCGAGCATCTTGCTTCAGAAGCGAGGCAAGAATACTTCCTGGCATTCGGAAAACAAAGAGTGGAACAGGCTAGCAAGTGTGCAGGTGTGCGTCATACGAGAGGCCCCGCCTTGCATCTTCCGCCACAGATTTGGGGAAATTGGTCCGTGCGCAAAGCATTGTGGGGATTTTAAGACCGCGGAGTCTACTCATGTGCAGCCTCGAAATTTCTCTAAACGAAGTACGCCGGGCTCGGTAGATTTCCAAGTATGCTGGACATTGGAACAGTACTTCGGCGGCACTCGATTACGTAGTATGCTTGAAATAGTGGCTCTGAAGCAGCTTTACTCGACATTGAGAAACACCCAGTGTCTCTGTGCTTTACCTGTTACTCCCCACCAGGACTATTGTAGAAAAGCGGACTTGATGGTTGTTAAATCTTAAAACCCCTCATCTCTGAAGTGATTTGCTTAGGTTTACGTCTGCGTTTATATTTACATATAAATGAAAAGGTCAGTGCGTGGTAAGTGCATATATATTTTATTTTGCAGCCATAGATAAAAGGGTACAAGAAATTATTCTAAAAGATATAGTACTGTTATTATTATCAAACTTTTACAGTACATACCGAGTGTGTGCACTTCTTTGATCCTTAATCCCTGTGTAACACTCGCTGTAGGGTCAGTACCTAGACACTTTGACATGGTCATAACATAAACTGGGGGGATTAAACTTGTGCGCTCTTCATCTTTGCCTACTTCACCTCAAGGTGACCCCTCTCTCAAACGATATTTACCTTTATTGGCTGATCTGTCGAGAGCAAAGTTAGGGGTGAAGGAATTGTTCCAGTTTAGCTGAGTTGCACCTCTGAAAACTTCTGAGTTCTTGCAGTAAAAAAACTTTTCAGTCAGCAGTGGAGGCCATATCCCCCGAGGAGTACCAGAGTTACCTGTCCTGCACTGCAGCAGAAACAAACAACGCACGAGAGCAGCGCTGCAGAGACTTCAAAACATAAATGGGGCTCAGGAAAATTATGCATACATACAACCATGTTATTGTCCTAAATACAACTCATACATAAACAAATATTTGTGTCAGTTTAAGGTGATTCTATTTTGGAAACAGATGCTCTGCCTAGTACGTCATGTACCTCGTTTGTCCCGAGAACAAAAACATGTATTTCTGCCTCGGTTAGACTCTCTCTTATACTGTAAAGACATTTGGAAATTGCTCTGATGTACAAAGAAATATGGATCGAGCCAAAGAAAGGATTTTGGTTTTTGTTATGGTCCTAGAATAGGACCTTCAAAAACTATAACATTCACATTTTATAATTGAATTCAATACTGCTCTTATTCGTCCTTTTCTAAAAACTCAAATGTAATAAATAAACATTGAAGGATCATCCCTGAACTTAATCAAGTGCTACTCTTGGGCATTAAAGGTATTAACACTGTGTATTTTAACAATGTCATCTTTCTAGTGCACATGCAAGCTGTGAGGGTACAGTGTACAATCATCTGTGTACAGTATACTTGCACACAAGCACACACCAATAGAGTCTTCCTCTTTGCAGAGATGATGATGACAGGTCTCACAGGGGGCACCTTAGACAACCCCAACTTCACAGGAAACTTCTAGTGTTGTTAATTAAACTTCCTAATTGAAATCTTAAAGCCTGTTTCGGTTCCGCTCACACAGCTTGTTTTCCTCGGGCTGTTCCGCTCCAGTGGAAAATGTCACATTGTGAACAGGCTGTGAACGAGGAGGAGACCCTTGATTGGTTTGGTCAACTGCCTCTGCTACTGTACGGCTGCTGCTCTGTTTCTACTGCTCTGTTTCTGCTGCTCTGTTTCTGCTGCTCTGTTTCTGTCTGCTGCTCTGTTTCTGTCTGCTGCTCTGTTTCTGTCTGCTGCTCTGTTTCTGCTGCTCTGTTTCTGCTGCTCTGTTTCTGCTGCTCTGTTTCTGCTGCTCTGTTTCTGTCTGCTGCTCTGATCTGTCTGCTGCTCTGTTTCTGTCTGCTGCTCTGATCTGTCTGCTGCTCTGTTTCTGCTGCTCTGTTTCTGTCTGCTGCTCTGATCTGTCTGCTGCTCTGTTTCTGTCTGCTGCTCTGATCTGTCTGCTGCTCTGTTTCTGCTGCTCTGTTTCTGTCTGCTGCTCTGTTTCTGTCTGCTGCTCTGTTTCTGTCTGCCTCTCGCACTCCGTCTGTCTACTGAGCCACAGTGTTAAGAATTACTCAGATGGACGGCCTCGAGAAGCAACCGGTGACAGTGGCTGAAAAAGGTTTATCTATCCTGAGAGATAGCCAAGTGAAGTTTATTTTATTTTTTGAAAATTAAAACAGCAAGTGCTTTGAAGAAACATTTAAGATAAAATACAATAATATTAATTAATATTAATGAATGTATAATAATTTAATAACAAGGGGACTCATACATAATTGTAAAAGGATTTGCCTTATAGTGGAGTATACATTTTCGAAGTTGGGAAAAATCCTTCTTATCTTCTTAGATATCGCTAATGATAAACAGCAATCATGCAGAATAAATAGTAGTTGTGTAGAGCATTATTGACCGATTTGCAAAAAGATTCCACAACATTTTCAAGTGTTTTTTTTTTTTAATCAAAAACATTTTAGGCAGCATTTTTGCCTGTAACGTTCTGGAATCTCTGGTTTCAGTGTACAGTATGTGTCTGAGATGTATATATACATATTCTTTTATAACAGTTGGAATATTGGTTATTTGAGAGGGCAATCATTCGTGGTCCATCTGGTGTATATAGGGATGGGTACCGAGCCCCGGTATTAAACGGGCCCCGGGGCTGAATTATTAAAGACCGTGGTACCGTTAAGCTCCGACGTTATCGGTCTTTTTATCGGTACTGGAGACATCTAAAAAATATGTCATGTGTATTATTGCTACACAAACATTATATTGCAGTTTTAGTGTCGCCAACTCCGTTTCTAATACGCAAAAAGACTGCAAAATGCGTCATTTTTAGTATTTTCGATCTCTCCAATCCAGACGAGAGATCTCTCTCCCCCGCCTGCTTGCGAGGGGGCGGAGCAGTTTACACACACGCAGCTGCTACATGCAGCAACACACACACGGAGGAGATGGCGGAGAGAACGCGCTCCGAGGTGTGGTTAAACTTTACCCGTCTCGCTCGTTGCCTAAAGTGCAATAAGAGTTTAGCATGTCAGGGCGGTAACACGAGCAATTTGTCTAAACATCTTGCAAAAGTGCACCACGTTCAGACGGAGAAATGCACCGGGTTCGACTGTCTCTCTAGTAGCTCTGTAGCCCCATCCACGAGTAACGTTTCCACGTCAGGTGTTATGTATGCTAGCAGCAACACACGGAGCTAACTCAATGATTCAAACATGGGTTAATGATTAGAGGGAACTGAGTTATTTAGTTTGTTAAAGTTTCAGCCATTCTGTTCACAGTTCTGTCATCAGATTATTTAATATGATTTGTTAAAACGTTGTTGTTTCTGTTGATGTGAAATATTATGCATTTCATTTAAATAAAAAGCAATGTTAGTTTTGTTCACAATTTGTTAATTTTCATTTAATCGTTTATTTGAATAGGGACAATGCACATTAATGAACACTTTAGACAAATAATGCTTCAAGTAGGGTGACCAGGTGACAGAAAGCCACAAGTGGGACAGAGAGTATATTTGTGTGGGACAATGTGGGACATGTAAATGTAATGTTGACGCATGAACTGTCAACGGGGGGGGGGGGTACGTACACTGTGGACCTCTGTCGCCTGTCAGCGCAACTTACATAATGCCGTTTAAAACATAATCATAATGGCAGAAAAGCGTTTTGGCCAATCAAAATGAAATATGCGGGCAGTGGCTCAGTCAGTAGGGGCTTGGACTGGGAGCCGTAGGGTCGCTGGTTCAAGTCCCCGACCAGACCTAAATATGGAGTGTGGACTTCTACTTGGAGAGGTCCCAGTTCACCTCCTGCCCTGCCGTGGTGCCCTTGAGCAAGGCACCGGACACCCCCCTTCCCCCCCCCACTCCCATTGCTCCCCGGGCGCTGTACAATAGCTGCCCACTGCTCCTAGTACTAGACTCCTTGTACTAGGATGGGTTAAAAGCAGAGGCCAAATTTCACTGTGTGTGCTGTGTGCTCTGCATGTGTGACCATTAAAGAGGGTTTCATCCCTCCCTATTCTATTCTTCTTCTACATCGTCTCAATTTGCGGGACGCACCAAAAGTCGTGAAAATGCTGTGCAGTCCCGCGCAAAGCGGGACATCTGGTCACCCTAGCTTCAAGTGTAAATATGCCGGATTTTAGCTTTGAGCTAATTTCCATCCGTAGTCCCTGACATACAACATATAGTTAGTTTACCTCATTTTTCTCTCCAAAAGAACCGATAAGAGTACCGTTAAAAGACCGGACCGATAAGAGGTATCGATAAAAGTAGTAGTACCGTTAAAACCTTAACGATACCCATCCCTAGGTGTATAGCAGCTGTGCAAACGCAAAGGCGTGATGGAGAAGAGTCGATGGGTCAGTGATGCTCTTTCTGTCCGGATGGTCTCTCCACACGGCACAAAGAGAGGAGAGGAGTACAAGCAATGCGTCTGGCTCCTATCAAAATGTGTCCAAGACCTTCTCAGCCATTCTGTTTTTTTAGGGAGGAGTTTCTTTGTGGA